TGCATTACCGAGTTTTGCGAAAAAAAAAACGCGGACGAAGTGAGCTTGATACTCAGCATTTGTCTCTGCAACAAAGTCGAATAATCTGAATACGGAGTACATTCGAATACGAATTCGAATAAACATTCGAATAAAACATTCGAATAAAATCTATTCGAAACCCCGTTTTTTGATTATTCGAGTTTTCGAATAATATTCGAAACCTCGTTTTTTGATTATTCGAGTTTTCGAATAATATTCGAAACCCTGTTTTTTGATTATTCGAGTTTCGAATTTTATTCGAAACCCCGTTTTCTCAATTATTCGAGTTTCGAATATTATTCGAAAATGGAAGAACTCCGAATATCGAATTTCGAATACGAATATATTCGAATGTTTTATTCGAATGATCGAATTTCTATTCGATTCGGACCCAAGTATATTACCTACTCCTATCGACTGCCTCAAACTACCTCTACTTGCATATACAGCACGTTAGTGCAGACCGAACGCTGGATAGAGAAATGGAAAAATTCACTAGATTGTCTACATTTATCCTATTAATGTAAGAGAGACTCAACTAAACTAAATAAACCGCTGCTAAACAAAGAACAGCACGGGCTGTGGGACAAGTCTCACTATCATTATATCGGGGGTTTAAACCAGATCGCAAGCAGCCTCCACGGCTCAAAGGAAAGGTATAGGATGTTCACAAAATCGCTACGATGGCAACGTCTGTGTGCGTCGCATAGCAGTTTCGGCAACTGCACTTCCTTAGCTTTATTCTTTATTCAAATAGTTTCATGCTTGCATTGAAGCTTTTGGATGCTAAAAGTGATTGAGACGGACACTAAAGTGATGCCTTTTGTTTAATCTTTTACGCTTTTGTGACGTTTAAATAGACGCAAAGACCGCAGGCGAATACGTTGTCACGATCTATGAAGGACCTATACAACCTTCTCCGTCCCTAATTTCTTCTAACGACTCGTTCAAAAGAGTCGATACATCATACGATTAAGTTGCATTTTCAAACTTTCAAACAAGTCAAATCCGTTTGCCATTTCGACCCTCAAATCAAAACACATCCTATGCTGGAGCTAACCCAAGTCACGACGACGCAGGATTCGAGTCATACATGAGAAATGATGGGAAGCGAAAGTGTACAGACACCCGAGGCGAAGCAAAGAAAAGTATACATCAAAATGTGAATTGCATTCAAATGCTTCATAGGGAACCCATCATAAGGAAAGCAGTGAACTAATAAAAAAACCTAACAATGAAGCTTGTGTGTTTATACCACATTTTTTCGCTACTTTTTTTTGGTCCAGAGCGATTATCAGCACTCATTATCTCTTAGAATAAGCCAAGAAAGAATCAAGCCAATGCATTTGCTTTGGCTAAAGTAACGTTGGGTGCTGTGCAACACAACAACTGACATGGCTTTTTACGTAGTCGGTCCCGCACGCGTACAAGTAACGTGTCTAGAGTGTCCGATTTGATTCTGATATTTTTCTCCCGCCTAAAGATTGTTTGGCTGACCTCGTCCTCCTCACCTTTTTCAGGCCTGGAAAGAAGATAAACATTTATAGTGTTTTCTCGAACACCTGTCTGACGACAAGGTACAGTTGTCATGGATAGAATCTGAAGCAGCAGCGGATACGTAAGAGCCTGAGTCAGCTCCAGCGAGAGAGCTTGTGAGCGTATCACTATGTGCGGAATGTGCCATTACTGTCTACGACTGCGCGAGCCGTTATGTATATGGCAGTACCACCTTGATCAAAACGCATAGAGGCTGACGAGAAAACGTGACCAAAGAATGGTTCCGTATCAAGGGCTGGTACTGAACCAATTCTTTGGTCACGATTCTGCATTCTACATCCTCACGGAGTTGATTCTACTGACAATTTATCCGAGACAGATGTGTGGAGATATTCAGGATTCAACAAAGGTCAATGTTGCAAAGACGAGGATATCTGTACGATCATCTACTACCGATCATTCATTCAATCTCTTTCCATTCATCCTCTTCCATTCTTCCTCTTCTTGCACCAGTTCATCCACCGTCACTCCTCACGTTGCTTCATAAACATGGTTTAGCACCTAATGAAAGAATGATTGTCGGAATGTAGTTGATTCTGTGGCTTGTTTGGTATTCTACTTTTTGAATGACCTCACATCTACCAGTAAGCTCTAAACTCCACTCTTCTAATGTTAACCATGACAGGGCGAATGCTTACCAAAAGTTTATCTCAGAGAATGATCCTAGCCATCAATTACAGAGGAGGGCTTATAGCCGACAGTAGTGCAGTCGAAGAATGACAGATTGGACGACTGATACGACGTACCAGATGGGCACTGAAAGCTCTGCGGACACCCTTGAGTTCCATGGCTATCGAATCTCCCCAAACTAGTCATAAGATAAGAGTTTGTCGCTAGACTGATATACCAGCACAACGTCCGATATGGAAATGAGGAGGAGACATTAATGTGCATCGTAGCGACCAATCTGACTGGTGAACCACACTGAATAGGTTTTTGAACGAATAATCGAAACAAGCCTCTGAAGCATCATAGAATCATTCAGTCAGAGAATTTTTGTGAGGAGACTAAGCACTATCGACTATCCATTCTCGAACTACAATAGGTGTAGAGAAAATCAAAGTGAGTACACGCAGCCTTGAAACCAGGGAGAGAGAAAATGAGAGCTGCTTTATGAAGTAATATGGTGGACTTTAGGAAACACATGGTGCTGAGGAGTAATGAGTGCACAAAAATTATCTACCACAACTATTGGAGTGAGATTAATATGGTTGCAGAATGGCATGCATTCTAGAACATTGAAGTGCATCATGTTCGGCTCTGTATTCCTTGCTTTTCATACTAGTTATGGATGCACTAGCTGGCTTACCCGGCTTCGCTCGGCCTTGTCAAAAGACTATGAAAAGGCCTTATCCCTATCCCTGTACAACCTTTCCCTGCCCGCTTCTATACGCCAGTCTTCCCCCCTCCCCCCCCCCCCCCGCCATTCCCGCTGTGTTAGTAATCAGCATGCTCACTTACCCCCCCCCCCCTGTGCCAACTCCCAGCTCCGTAGCTCAAACTTTAAAAAATCGATAAAATCGATCGATCGATAGCCTATGACATCCTTCCCGCCCCGAAGTATATGTGTGCCAAACTTTATCCAAATCGGTCCAGAAATAAAGTTTTATTCCGCACATAGTACACACAGACATACAGACATACAGACATACAGACATAGATACAAACAGACATTAAGCTTCATATATAAGATCGTATCCACCAAGCGTAAGCCTCCATAGACACTTCCATATACAGATTATCTTGATAGAAATGTCAGCAAGATACATGTCTTTTGTAAGGGACCGTTTTAGGCGCTTAATCTAAAAATGACACCTTCTGCACACCACGCGCCCAGGTTGCAGTAATGGCTCAACGTAACCGAACAACATGCAGAGGTCTGAACAAACTCGCTCGCTACGGCTCAGTATATCGTAAATCTCTCCTAACTTCCGCAACATTCTCGCTTCCGACGCTAAGATTTGCCTTCGTACATGAGCACTAACTCAAATGGGGTCTGCTCTTGTGAAAGACCAGATCACGACCTGCCATTGCCCGACGTAGGCTCAAACATCTTCGGTGAGCTACAATGGTCGATCAATCTAGCCGAATCTCGCAGGGCCATCATAGCAACAATTCTTCGGCGGGTCTATATTCATCCTAACCTGCTGCAGCTTTCCACCAATGTATCGTACTAGGCTTGACACTCAAGGCATAAAATGTTCCATGTTCGACTTCGATAAGCCTTGGCATATCGAATAAGTTGCTTCAGATTTAGCCAACACGATTATTCGGCTAACGTTTCCGCCTAGTTGCCTGCGCCGGAGCTCCCAAGAGAAACATTAGAAATTAACTTCCCAAACATCTCATCACATGCAAGTGTTGAATAGACTTCCGTTGAGCCTAAAACTATTGCTAACCTTCGCTTTCAGAATGAGGTTGAACCGCAGCCGACTGTAATGTGCTAACACTGAGTGAGGCAAGTCTCTAGAGACTACGCATGATCAAAACTTGCATAAGTTCATCATTGGCGCGAGCTCATTTGTTACGGCAGTGCATTCTTTTTTTTTCATTTTGAAATCTCTGGATAAAATCCAGCACTTCTCGAGCGTCGTGCCGACACCTTAGTTTCCTCGTGATAAAATGTTGATAGAAACATCAAGTTCTGCGTTTTGACTTAGCTTGGAGGATCAAAGAGCCTATAGGCGGGTTGCGAAGATCAAGATTATCAACCCATTGGGCACGCATAACAAGCTATGTCATCAAGTCACAGAATTCGATATTTCGGTTACATTATATCACGGGAAACCGAGGTATCGGCAGGGAAGACGCTCGAGGCTTGCTGGATTTTGTCCAGAAATCCCAAAATGAATAGCCTCTAGCCGTAAGTTTCCCGACTTTCCGACCGCTTCTCTTGCTTCTGTTCATTCGTTATGGCCGCGCACTTGCGCGATGCCGTGGTCCGAGGGGGCCCACTTTCGCACGAACTAAAATTCGAAAACTTCCAACCTAGATGTTGCTAGAGCATTTGTTAAGCTCATGCTGTGAACGTGGGCTTACATACACTCAAAACCAACAGATTAACTCCTATATGGTCCTTGTAAATGCTTTCAACTGGATATGATCGAATTGTTGTGCATTGAAATGTAGATACGTTACGCAAGCTAAAACTACATGCAAGGCAGGAATACCACTTTATCATCATTAAGTGATCAATCATTTGTCATTTCAAGTTTTTATCTCTTGCAGCTAGCATTACGTTTAGCTGTCGATCTTTCCAGTAGGCGGTGATTTATTTTGCCTAGAAGTTATCTTCTCATATCCCTCAGGCTTTATCAATATAAGTTGCACGCTAGTAGTCCTACTAGCCTCTCTCGGATAGTCCTTGCTACCCGTCATGTGTGAGCATCTCTGTACTGCATTTGGATATTATTTTAATTTAGGATGTCCATACTCATCAAGAATGGCACTGTGGTGAATGATGATTCAATGTTCCCTGCAGACGTACTAATTACTGACGGGAAAATTGCGTAAGTTGCTTTTGTGCTGCAGATCACATCCAATAGCTAAACAGGCATCAAGTCTTGGAATTTTCGCCAAGTTAATTCCAAAGCACGTTGTAACTGTTGCTAAAACAAAGCACGTTGTTCGACACCAAATACATAAGATGTCTGAAGTATGTCGTAAAGATCAAATGTATATTATGCTGGAAATATGCTCAGTGACTGTGCTTACATATCCAATGTCGTCTTACAAGGGAAGGATACTTAGTCGAAGTGGTGTTCCATTATGAAGTGTACACTATCTTATAGAGCTCAGGACGCTGATTCCGAGTCTATTTTCCATATCTGCAAAGCGCTTCTGGGAGGGAAATTATGGGAACTTCTTGGAGCAAAAATTCGAACGCGCGGCTACCATAAAATCATTCAAAGTGCAGTCTATGAGCTCGAATGGGGCTATGATCACTACCAGGGCGCTTTATGCAAGCAATACTACCTTCAGTCTAATAAGCTCTTGTCAGACTATTACTCCTTTCAAGCGCCGGAAAGATACACCTGTTTTTACCTTAGCCAACCCATTGAAATTTTACCAAAAAAATTTCCATAACTCCCCTCCCAGAAGCGCTTTGCAAAAAGGAAAGAAAAAGGAAAGCTGATTTGGAACCAGCGTTCTATGCTCTATAAGATAGCATACATTTCATAATAAAACACCACTTCGACTAAGTATCCTTCCCTTGTTAGAGCGCTAATTTTGAAGCTGTTTGTTAGCTGCGATAAGACAGTTTAGAAGGAGGTTTAAGCGGTCTCCTCTTTGAGACTGGCATGTCTGCACAAAAGGGCGAGTAATTTCGATATGTGCTCATAATGATGGATGGCCATGTGGTAATTATGTGAATAAATACACAAACATGCTGGTTTCTGTTGCTACGTCTAATTGCGCTTGCTCTAACCATCGCTGTTTTATTTCAAAGGTAGTTCCGCACATAAGAGCGTAGTTTTGAGATCGTTTCAAGGCGAGTATCTTAATGTATAACACTTTTCAAAATGTTAGCACAACTGAGTACCTTTTCTTTTAGGTCAGAGCATTCTAATATTTTATTTCAGCGGAGTCGGATCATCGATAGCCACCTCTGGTGAAAATGTCCAAGTCATCGACGCAACTGGCAGATATGTAATGCCTGGCGGGATTGATCCACACACGCATCTACAGATGCCATTCATGGGTGCAACTGCTGCCGATGATTTCGTGTCCGGCACACAAGCGGCAGTAGCCGGTGGAACCACTATGGTTGGTTCAAAAAATTATCGTTCGATATAAAACGCAATGCTTACAGTACGTGTCAACCACGTGCTCCCCTTTTCCGAAGTGACTACGCATCCGTAGTGCTTGGGCATTGGGCAGCGATCTCCGATCGATATGGCAGATTTGAACGCTTAAAGGCACCGTCCACCCAGATTTTCGACTTCCACGTTTTTGTCGTTTCAGGGCCTTCTCATGTCTCTGATTCCGAATATGAAGTCGAAAATGCTCGAAAACCCCGACAATCCCCGTTCCGGAGAACCGACAGGCGGCTTTCCGGAACGGTGATTGGATGGGCGCGCACAAATGGACGGCGTGGATGGGGGAGGGCGGGCATGGATGGGGGTCCTCGTGCATCTTCGCTATTCCGAAGCGATTTTCTCGCTTCCGAAGCGGCATTTTGCGCCGCGATGGACATTGTATTGACTGGGGCCCTACTATCATATGCTGCCAAAAGCTCAACACCCTCAACTTAGGGTGGACGGTGCCTTTGAGCAATGCGCTCGCAACGCAGCACAGGGCTCTCTAGCTCTGCGTTTGAGTGATCGGCAAGGGAGCACATCGTTGAGACCAACAGTACATTGTAAATGGAAGTTATGTAGAAAATTTACATCTAGGCTCATTTTGTTTCAGCTCAAAGTTCTAGAGCCATTGTAGGCGTCCGTGGCCTGCTCTAATTACATATATCCGCTGGAAACTGACAATTTAATCTAACTATTGAAGCCCTCATCCTGTTAGCGTACTCCTGTTATTTGAAAGTGCTTTATATTTCGTAGATTTTGAGCGAAAAGAGGAAAGATCTGATAGACTAAGTTAAGGGACCTCAACTCCATCACTAAAACTTACGGTTTTTCCATCACAGCTGTGGCTTCCTTCAAAGCTTTCGCAATTCTGGATTCTATATCTGTAAAGAAATACTGTTGTGCCGTATAATCTTGCTAAGGTGGTACACTCATCCGAATTGTCTAAGGGTACAGCCAGACTGCGCGGCGTACGCTCCACGTCTTTATGCACGTATGCGTTCGCGCCTTCTGGCCCAACCTTTATATTTCGACAGCTTTGTTGTCCTTAGAGGTTTAGAAATGGCTCAAAGCATTATTTGCAATTCCAGGCCATCAGATGTCTCCTCTAGTCCAGCTACTTTCTCCGATTACCTTTCGTGATCATGTTTGACAAAGATCTAAGTCCACCTCTATACCACCGTTGTTCGAGACCAGGGGCCGGCACGAGTATCCTTCAAGGTATCTCAAACAAAACCCCTTTTGACTCTTTTGTAAGGAATTTATCGTATCGTTGGCTTTCCTACATGCATCATGTCATGATGGTCTTTTGAAGGGCGCAATAACTTTGATTAGAACAGATCAGAAGCGACTCGATTATTCGGAAATTAGTACAATCTGTCAGCACGTGAAGTCAAAACTGCTGGCATTTCTTGCACTTCCATCATGCGGAAACTTTACAAGATAGAGAGGGCGTTATAACGTGAGCAAGAAAGACCGACGACGAAGCTCAAGTGGATTATGCAGTCACATGAAGGTCGCATTAAACAGCTTGGTGACAGGGCCGACGCGAGGGTGATAAATGTTAAGTTGGAGATCTTCTATGTGAAAAGCAAAGAAGTTCTCTCAATCACACATTCGTATGCGTTGAATAACCCTCAAGGAGCGAGTGGCGTAGTGGTAGGAGGTGCCGCTTTGACCATCGGACCCAGGTTCGGTCGCGCCTGGGACAACCAAGCTAATTTGATACCAGAGTAATCTGGGAGGATAAAAGCACCAATTGGTAGTCGGCTGGCCCAGCAAGTCACTGCAATAGGTCCGCACGCATTCATTAGCCTCTTCGCCTATAAAGTAGAGTGAGTTCGACGCACTTGCAGTGGTCAGATTGACGTTTCAAATATGTTCAAGAATGTTCAAGCTCTTTTGGAAACTAGGTTTTCTTGCACAAAGTAGTAAACAAATGATTCGATTACTGCGCACATATAAGATTATGCCACCAAATTTGGTATGTAAATAGATCAGGGCTAGGGTGAACAATCTGAGAAGTTGTGAAAAAAATTATGTGATTGAAAGATGCGGTAAATTTTTTGCTAAAAATTTTCCTTTCAAAAAATGGAAAAATGACTCGCTTGCAACGCACAGATGACGATATGGCACGTTTGATGTATATACTGCGATAGCACAAAAAACAGTGTATGAAAATTTCGAAAAACTTACGTGAGTAAAAACGCCTCAATTTCTTTCCAAAAGCTGGTCAATTGCCCACCTAATGCCCACCTGTGGCGGTATGTATCATTTTCCCGTTCGGGTAATTGTTCCCGTGTAGGTCGTCTATCCAGTCAGACGCGGGCGCTCAGGCCCACGGTGCGCGAACCTGCAAGGGCCCGGTCAGGCAGTATCGGATAGGTCTGAAACGCCTGAAGCGGTATTTATCAATCTCTTACATGAAAAGGGGTTCCTGTGCAGGTCACAGTCCGTATAGGCTCGGACACTGGCGCCTGCGATACACGAAGCAAGCTGGTGATCGGGCTCCTGTCTATTTGAGGATATGGGGTCCGATCTGGCAAGTCTGGCTATGTCCAGCACGGCAGGTGCCCTACAGTGCCCGATCTCTAGAGGTGGGGCCTGTTGCACCCTGATCTCCTATCTGATCTCGCTTGACTCTAAAGTGAATGAAGTAGCTCGTCTCTTCGATTAGGTGGCCGAAAACGTTAATGATTTGAACGACTCATTTACTAACGAGGAAGATTTGGTATTTGTTGTAGCAAGAAATTTATCTGATTTCGGATGTAATTTGATTTGGTCTTGAGATTTACAAGAGATTCAGAACTCGGACTGGAGAGATCTGTCTCCGAAACTCTTGTAAATCTCATAGTCAAATCAATTCAAATCTTAAATCAAACAAATGTCTTGCAACATAACAATTATCAAATCTTACTCATTGACTAGTGAATGAATAATTCGACTTATCAACGTTTTCGGCCATCTAGTCAAAGAGACGCGCTCTTTCATATGATTTGTAGTCAAGCGAGATCGGTTGATGACCAGGCGTTGCTGACATACCTTTCTGTCTGACCGGGCTCTTGCGCGGTCAGGCGCCTACTTTCGCGCATCATGGACGCGAGCGCCCGCCTCTGATGGATATACCAATTGATTCAACTGGCTTGGCATCGGCAAAGGCCGGGCTTCGTGACCTAATTAAGGCTAGGTGATGATCAGGGAGCACTCGCGCGAGAGAGACGCAGGCCCGTCGCGGGCGCGAGCGGCCTCTATTAGATCACAAAACCCCGCCCTAATGGTGCCAAGCCAGTTGAATCAATGAATACCACCTGTACGGGAACACTTGCTCTTATGGGAGATTGATACATACCGTCCCAGGGAAAAACTTCCACTTTACATAAGTTTCTCCAAATCCTACGTAAGCCTGTTCTACACCTGAAATTTACTTTTTAGTAACATTTTGATTCAATACTTCCCTCTTCTCTTTGCTAGAGTCCGAAAAAGCAAACGAGTTGTTGTTTGTTTGATGGACAGCATGCCGGTGGCACGCCGGTGGCATTCTTGCTGCACTTCTCTGCCCCGGACCCCGGAGTAATGATATATCTCCTTTGTTTTCCGCTCTAAAAACGATATCCAGCTTGACCCGGTGCCAGCTGTGCCGAGCCCTGATTCCAGCAAGTTTTCATCCTCCCATATGTGACATGTCCGTCATAGCGAAAGTTTGAGAAACTGTAGCTTATCAAAAACAATAAGATAATAACAAAGTCAATGGTGAATGAAAACAAAACAAAGGTTTAATTTGGGAGAGCTTTTAGTTAGGCTTGTCTGAGTAGCCTAATTTTCACTTTTTCACTTTAAACTTAACGGGACTGGAAGATTAAAATTAGAGTACGTTAGCATATAGCCAAAACGGCAAAATTTCCCAGTTTCAGTAACAATGACACCAATTACGATATTTTGTTAGATACTGAGCTGATGCAAAATGTGCGGAAAAGTATAAAAATTCTCAAATACATCGTTTGATAGAGCAAAGCAAGCTCTACAAGATAGTGTTTGAACAAGCGCAAACGATTGGATCTGCCTGAAGTTTGAGGAAAAATCTAGGAAATTTTAAACACCCAAAAATTCGTCTGGAAAGATTCTGTGAACTCCCAACTAGGTCAAGCATATACTAGTATAAGACATTCAAATGTATACTTGCTGTACTTTTTTGTAAGTGGAAATTGAATAAAAATTGAGCCAAAAATTCGAAAATCCTTTTTCGGTTTTTTAAATGCTAAATTTGATATTTCTCGACAACTGAAGCCCCAAGAAGGCTGAGAAGTAACTGTCATACTTCCAAAGGCTTGTAGTATGGAATTATCTATTTCCGTACAATCCAGCATTGATTTTGATAGTATATGCCAAATTTTAATATCTCAAATTCTAGCCATGGAACAAATACAGCAATTGCTTATGTGCATAGCCGATGCAATAAGCAATTTTAGTGCGCAGGTTAGAGGTCTGTAGGAATTTTCTAAACAGAGATCCGATTATAGGGCATTTGGGAAAATTATTTTTCTTCCCAATTTCCGTGCATCAAATTTTTTTAGATTATTTACACCGTCTTGAAGGGCATGCTTTGCTCTATCGAATGATATGTTTCCTCAATTTCTTATAACAATATGAATTAACCTTCAACATAATAAATTTACAATCTTGGACAGCACTGTACTTCACTACACGCTCTCCATGGTAAACCTGTATTACATCGAGTATCTTAGGTAATCGATTTCGTCATTCCGAATAAGGAAATGGGAGTGCTGGCTGCCTACAAACAATGGAGAGAATGGGCTGATCCAAAGGTAAATAATTTGGGGAGAACCTATCACAAAAATTCTCTAAGGTATGCTGCGACTATGGTCTGTCGATGGCCATCACATTTTGGAACGAGACTGTGGCGAAAGAGATGGAAGAAGTAGTAAAACCTGAATACGGTACTCACTTGACAAGCATTCACTTGATCAGTCTATGTGCATTTTAGGTGTTAACTCCTTCAAATTCTTCCTGGCCTATAAGGACTACTTCATGGTTGAAGATGGCGAATTTTACCAAGGTTTGGTTCTGTACTTGTTGGTGAGGTTGTGTAGTTATTTTGAACCAGGAATGCTAACCTGCTCAAGGATCGGAGCAGTAGCACGAGTTCACGCAGAGAACGGTTCTGTCATCAAAGAGCGATGCAAAGCATTGCTAGAGCAAGGTGTGACTGGACCAGAAGGTCATCCACAAAGTCGTCCAGAAGAGGTTTGATCGATCTACTACGACAATCAGAGATTTTTACTCCATCTTTTCAGCTGGAAGCTGAGGCCACAAACAGAGCGTGCATGATGGCCACACAAGCAAATTGCCCTGTCTACATTGTGCACTGCATGACCAAAGGTGCAGCAAAAGCTATTGCAGACCATCGACAAAGAGGTATGATGAGTTAGAACAGCTACACATTTAGAGAGAACAGCTATTAATCAAGATGTAACAGCTCGCTACAGACTTTCCTCACAAAATCAGGTAGAAAAAATCACAAAATGAACACGCTCACACCGGCAAAGAGCGGGTGAAGTGACAGCAGGGCTCGCCATGGGTGACACATGCAATGGAATTTAGGGAGACGGCCTGGGCGGGGCTAGAGGAAGGAACACCTCAATTAGGCACCGCCTCCGCGGGCTGTTAGTCCTTTCGTCCTATTGTTGTGCATCGTGTTAAGACTAGTAGTCCGTGGAGGTGTTGCCTAACTGAGGTGTTCGTTCTCCATCCGGTCTTCGCAGGATCTCGTGCGCGGAGAGGTCCTGTACAGAGCATTACGCTCGTGTGAATCGGCCTACACCCCGGGGATTCTGTACATATTTACCTAGACCTGTACGTACGCGCTATCAGGCTTGAGCAGTACAATCAAAATAGACGGGCGTCATTTACATGCTTAAAGGCATTATCCAGGTCAACTGGATGTACTGCTCAAGAAGGGAGGGGTTGACGCAGTGCGGGAGCACGGCTCCTGACTCATGCAACAGTTCAAGTCCGATCGAAAACGGTGAATTCTGAAGAAAAAATCGCTTCGGAAAAAGGGGCTGTCGCTAATCCCGCCTCCTTGACAAGTTTTGACGTGGCGAATGTTGCAGATCTAATGTATTCACGTCAAAACTTGTCAAGGAGGAGGGATTAGCGGACCGCCCCTTTTTCCGAAGCGATTTTCTCGCTTCAAATCCCACCTTTTTCAATCGGACTTGAACTGTTGCATCAGTCAGGAGCCGTGCTCGCGCACTGCGTCAAAATCTCCTCCCCCCCCCCCCGTTGATCTGGACGATGCCTTATTGTATCCCAAGTAAAGAAAATGGCTTGTTTGTAACGATCATACGGTTTACAGGCTTGATGAATTTGTTGTCATCGTTGCCAGAGGTATCAACTGGCTGGGGAAGGAAAAAATTCGTAATTTACCTTCTTCATACTTCAATGCACTTCTGCATATTTGATTCTTTACTTAGGTCTTAGTAATGATATGCAAATGCTACGTCGAAGAATATGAAAAGCGTTTTTGTTGTTCCTCTTCCAACAAGTCATTGTCAGCTGCGATGCTTTCAATATCCATTGGAATCAAAACACTTGAATTTTAGCGTTCGATGTCGTTGTTATGGTAAAAAATTGACTTCAAATATTTTCGTTTCATTCCTGAATGTAGCTTTTAGACGGAAGCGGAAATCAAATTTAGCGACAGCGACAAACAGTACTCCTCTCTCTCCATTCCCCACATCTCAACTCTCTTCCCCCCCCCCTCCCTCCCCCCTCCTCCCAGGGCTCGCTGAAGCAAAAACATGACTCCGTAGACGGAACTATTCCGGGGCTCCGAGCCTCTATCCTCTCAGGGCATCAGCCAGCGGTCAAAACAGTTCTTAGGATTTGATACTGTTTACTTATGGAACCACAACAACCTAACGCTTCTTCAGGCTATGTTGTATTCGGAGAACCGATAGCTGCTGGACTGGCCCTTGACGGCTCCCATTACTACAACCCGGTTAGCGCCTATATAGCCTTCAAAAAAAATCACCGATGACTTTGTTTAGGACTGGGAACATGCAGCGCGGTATGTGATGTCCCCACCGCTCAGTCGCGATCCCACCACTCCTGATTTCCTTATGGACATGCTGGCTGCGTAAGTCATCCTTGTCTGGAAAACCTTTACAGAATTAGGAATTTACTTTAGGGGAGAGCTTCAACTCATAGGCACAGATAACTGCACATTCACCACTGCACAAAAAGCAATGGGCCTAAATGATTTCACAAAAATCCCCAACGGTGTGAACGGAATTGAAGACAGAATGGGAATTGCATGGGAGCGAGGAGTTTATAGAGCAAAGATTGATCCAATGAAATTTGTATCGATTACAAGGTAAGAAGGTAAACACCTCAATCTTTTTTTTTTATCCATGCATCTTCCCGGTTACTCGGGGTCTGCCACTCTTGTAAGTCTCTTCCACAGTTCGCGGTCTAAGGCTTGCTCTTCTTCGATTTTTAGTTCTTTCAGATCCGCTTTGATCTTATCCGACCACCTCAACTTTGGCCTTCCTCTTGGCCTCTTTCCTGGTACTTCTTCTGCTGTGGCTGATTTGGAGATATGGCTTTCTTCCCTTCTTTGCACGTGACCGTACCACCGAAGTCTTCTCTCCTGCATCTTCTTAGCTATTGGGGCGACCTTCATCGTTGCGCGTATGGTATCGTTGGTAACGTGGTCGATCATGGTGACGCCTGCCGTCCATCGTAGCATGCGTGTTTCCATCACACTGACTTTACGTTCGTCGCTTCGCGTACACGGCCAACATTCGCTGCCATATAGAGCTGTCGCGCGGATCACACTACGGTACAACTGGGACTTCAGCTTGCGTGGCATCCGCCTATCGCACATGACTCCTGTGAGGCTCTTCCACTTCGACCAAGCTGCATTTATCCTGGCAGCCATCTCTTCTTGGATCGTACCATCTGCGCAGATGCGGCTTCCTAGGTACTTGAAGGTAGTAGTCTTCTTGATTGGAGCGTCTTCAATCTGTATGGTTCCTGGCGTTTGAGCTCCAAGCTCCATGTACTCGGTCTTCGCGTCATTGATCTTCAGGCCGTGCAGCTCGAGTTCAGATTTCCACTTCTGCACATCCGCCTCCAATTCATTCCTGCTTCTCGCCATCAGAATCACGTCATCTGCGTACATCACGGCCCATGGAGGTTGACGTATGAAGTTTCTGACTATCGTGTCCACAACTGTGATGAAGAGGAGAGGTGACAGCACGGATCCTTGATGAACGCCGGCTTTTATCTGGAAGTCTTCTGATTCTCCTGCTGCTGTTTGTACGTGGCTGGTCGCATCTCTGTAGATCATCTTTATCCACTGCACGTATTCTTCTGGAACCATGTGCTTCCGCAGCGCCCACCATATGATGTTATGCGGTACTTTATCGAACGCTTTCTCCAGGTCGAGGAATGCTGCATGTAACGCACACTGCTTTTCTCGGCTTCTTTCCATCATTATTCTGACGGTATGGATGGCGTCGGTTGTACTGCATCCCTTGACGAATCCGCACTGATTGGATGCCAGCTCCACAATTCTTCGAAGTCGTGTTTCTATTATTCTTTCGAAGATCTTTAGTGTGTGGCTCATGAGTCGAATGGGACGGTAAGTAGTGCAGTCAGCTATGTCTCCTCGATTCTTCCATATCGGTATTGTTGTACTTCTATACCAGTCGCGTGGCATCGTCTTCTGTTCTACTATCTGGTTTAGAAGTCGTGCTAGCCATGAGACTCCGGCCTGTCCACACTCCTTCCAGAACTCGTTGGAGACGTCATCTGGAGCCGTCGCCTTGCCGTTCTTGGTCTTCATTATGGCGATGTGGACTTCCTCTTCCGTGATTGCTGGTACCGGTCCATGTACAAGGTCGGCTGCAGTCGTCGTCGACGCGTATTCGTGGCTCGTGGATGCCATCTCTGCGAAGTGTGTTCTCCATCTCTCGTTTATCTCTTGTGGCGTTCTCAGCACTTTTCCCTGCTTGTCTTTGATGTTGTAGAAGTGCTCCATGTCTTTTATAGCGTTTGTTCTTCTTCTTGCGATCCGATAGATCTCCCGCTCTCCTTCACGAGTATGAAGTCTTCTGTACAGCTCCGCCACATATGCTTCTTTAGCTTCTTTAACTTTCTTCTTTGCTTCACGCTTCGCTGCTAGGTAATTCTGATGATCGTCTTCTAATCTTGTTTTCTGCCATAGCTTGTACGCCAACTTCTTCCTCTTGATCACGGATTGGACGGTCTCGTTCCACCACCAAGTTTCCTTATCTAGTCTTGGCTTTCCTGGTTTCGTACATCCCAGTAGATTCCCTGCCATCAGATGAACGTTGTTCTTCAGCTTCGCCCAGGATCGCTCCGGTTCATCTTCCAGTTTTGGTAGAGCTGACTCCATAGCTGCTTTCGCTTGAGCGTTGTCTTTGAGCTTCCACCACTTTATGCGAATTCTGTGCTCCACTGTTGGCTTTCTTCGACTCTTGACTGGGATATTCAGATCCAGAATCAGCGGCCGGTGTTGTGGTACGCATTCTTCACTGGGGATGACTTTGCTGTTCTTTACGTATTTGAGCTCTCTTTGCCGTACAACCCAGAAGTCTATTTGCGATTTCCGCTCTCCGCTGGCATACGTGACGAGATGGTTGTCCTTCTTGATGAAGTATGTGTTTGCCAACGCTAATTCATGGGCAGTAGCGAACTCCAGAATGCGCTCCCCTTCGTCGTTGCGAATTCCATATCCGTGATTACCGTGACATTTACTTGCCCCACGTCGTTGTTCTCCTACGTGGCCGTTTAGATCTGCTCCAATTAGCAACGTCTCTTCTGAAGGTACCGATCTGACGTAGTCGTCGAGTTCTTGCCAGAATCCGTCTTTCTCCTCATCGGTGCAACCTGCTTGAGGTGCGTAGGCAGTGACTACTCGCAGAATCTTCATTCCAACAACTAGCTTGATGCTCATGAGTCGGTCGCTTACTCGATCCACGCCTGTGATCCCATCTCTCAACCTTTCTGAGACGACTATTCCGACACCGTTTCTGCTGTTACTTGCTCCTTTATACAGAAGCTTGAAGCCATCTCCTAGATCGCGCGACTTTTCACCTTTCCATCTGGTCTCCTGGATGCAGGCGATGTCCACTCTACGTCTTCTGAGAAGATCCGCAAGCTCTCGATGTCGCCCTGTGAGGGATCCTACGTTGATGGTAACTAATCGAAGCGTATCTGATAACTTGTTCCGTCGTTTGTACTCGTAATGATGATGAACTAGCTTCTTTGGCCGTCCCCGCTCATCTTGTTGGGACGGTAACCCTCGCTTACTGTTCGCATTTGTCGGGCTCAAATGCGCGTCGCCTCCGGGGGACGCCCTAGCTTGTAATCGAGATTCTTGATGAGACATTAAAAGAGCATTGTGATGCGACGGGGTTTCTTCTTCAGCCGGCTTGTCGCTTGCTTTCCTTTGGATCAGCAGCCTGACGCTGGATTCGTGGGCAGAGCTTTTTGCCAAAGAAATTAGGCCCGCCGCGGAACCGAACCTGTGACCTTCCTCGCCGTAGTCAAGGGCACTAACCTCTCGGCCAGCTCTGCCCCTAAACACCTCAATCTGAAGGTCCATAATGTTTTGTAGCTCGATGGCAGCCAAGATCTTCAACATTTATCCCAAAAAGGGCAGGATTGCTATTGGATCCGATGCAGATGTGGTCATTTGGAATCCCAATGCCAGCAGAGTTATCTCGAAGTCAACTCACCACCATGTATGCATTACCCAAAAAAATAACCGCAATAGAAGAGATTTGGATCTAGGCTATTGATTACAACGTTTACGAGGGACAAGTGATACACGGTTTGGCTGAAACGACCATTTCGCGTGGAAAGGTGAGCTCTTGTTTGAGGTCCCTCTATTCACAAACGATGCTCTTAAAATACAGATTGTATGGACAAAAAATCAACTGCAAACTACACCTGGTTCCGGTAAATTCATCCCGCTTCTTCCATTTTCGCCGATCGCCTACGCCTCTCATGAACAAAGAGCTCAGGTGATGTTTGTTATCAAAATTACAATGGCTATCAAAAATCTGCATTTTGAGCATTGAGTCTTCGATTACCTTTCTTTTCTGAAAACATTCTTGCTTTGATTGTTTTAGTTTTGAATTGTGGACATTTTCGCACTAAATCCACAAATTTGCTCCTGCTCCTGCCGATACGCCATACTCAGAGCATATGGCCCTCTCTTGCTTCACAATATTTGCAAAAAAACAACCCTAAAATTGTAATATACACAAATATGCTGCAGAAAAAGCATTAGCATCCTTCCTCAAACAGCGGGGCCATTAATAATCTCGCATGAGTACAAATGAGTCCATAACTCGAGTGAAAAAAACAGGTTGCGGTGTGTCGTAACTTGGTTCAAAATAATCTTTTACGAAATCGGATTTTGATTTTTGGGTAGCAAAGCCAGGTTACAAGAATTCGAAAACCATTGTTTGAAAATTACTTTCATTGAAATCGTTTGCAATGAAGGGGATCGAGACACTGCCTTCCATAACTTTTGCCCAGATAATTTTTCCTCCTCTTTGATCAATGTTCCATCACCTCAGTCCGCTGTCGTTTCAAAGTGTACAAGTAAGAATGTAAAAAAATAAATTTCTGTCAAATGCAAATACAACACTTTCGTCGCGGTCTTCTTGCAGTGATTTATTAGAGTTTAATTTACTTTCATTGAATCCCTTTCAGTAAAGTAAATTTTAAACACTTGATGGTTTTCGTCCTTGTAACATTGGCTTTTCAAACATCTAACATCTCGCTTTTATCAAGATTGATGCGCCGCAAACGTTTTGAAGAGTGAAGGGCTCAACTGTAGTTTTTTTACATAAAGATAATCTCTTGAGAGATTGAGAATATCCTTGCAGAGTTTGAAGAGCATTCGTAATTGTAAAGCATTCTATTCGGAAAGGAAACTGAGATATTTCAGATGATGAAGCCTAAAATAGTGAAACGAGAAAAAAGGTCATCCGCAGGTGGACACGGTGGAAACGGAGCGCGAGAATGAAACAATAGATAGACTAGTAATTCGAAAGCACAATAGATTAATATGAAGAGCCTTCTAGTATTCGCCTAGAGTATGATATCACAGCTTGAATTTGCTCTTTCGCAAATGTTAACGGGCGATTTCAAATAATAAACGACTGGTGCAAACTGTGTTGAAACAAATAAGCACTATGCGAAGTGTTTATCAACAAGAATTCTTAGCTAAAGAAGCTAGAAAAGTAAGCAACGCGTAAAAAAATTGTTCAGCTTGGACTGCACTCAGGATATGCCGACGCGGGCCAGCTCCGTGCCAGAGCCGCCGATTAATCGACACGGGATTCGCGCAGGTGGTGCCTGCACCGCGCTAACAAGGTGCTGGCACACACAACTTTGAACTCAGCATTTCAGCTGCCACCACTCCATTATTAATATCTTTATCTTTATCTGTAACACTCGATGTGCACTAAAAAATTGATGAGTAAAAAAACAGATGAGGTAGTCACAGTACACAAAGGAAAACGTATCAAATATTGATTAGACTCATTCAACGGAATTAATTTTTGACCATACATTACCAGTGTTACAGTGTTATATTTACTCGTGTTACTAATGTTACCGCTTATATTGCTGTTGAGTAGTGAAATGATCACTAAAACAGTCATTTTTTTGGACGAGTAACACCACTACCACCGGTAACACTGGTAATGTATGGTCAAAGCTTAAGACGGAATTGATATAGCACTGCATGAGGAAGATGTATGTAAGTACCTCGAGCGTTATCAAAAGCTTTGATCAGAAGCATTCTTCGAGGAATTGCATGTTTTAAGCTCAAAATTACGGAGCATAATGGGATATGACCCATCAATTGCGAGTGGTTTGCTTTGGCGGATGGTACTAGGCGTTATAGTAAAACCCATGCGTACCTAGGACCTCTTCACCTACCCGCCGCCTCCACTTTCTCCGTGTTTGGGCATCGTGCAGTGGTTTAACAAGAAATGCGAGATTGCTGTCGAGAACCCATTTTGTAGATCTAGATAGTTGAGTATTATGAGAGGATAATAATAGTGGTGTGATAGAAGAACTAAGAGATCAACGAGAAAATCCACAGTGACTTCACATGAATCTCAGTATTCGTTACTCATTACGCACGAGTGAACGGTGAATAATCTTCTTCAAAAATCGGGATTTTCTTTTTGATCTCTTAGTGTTGTCTTCTATCACGCCACTATTATTATTATCCTCTCATAATACTCAACTATCTAGATCTACGAAATGGGTTCTCGAACAATCTCGCATTTTTTGTTAAACCACTGCACGAGGCCAAACACGGAGAAAGTGGAGGCGGCGGGTAGGTGAAGAAGTCCTAGGTACGCATGGGTTTTACTATATTGCCTAGTACCATCCGGCAAAGCAAACCACTCGAAAGTGATGTGGGTCATATCCCATCATGTTCCGTTAATTTGAGCTTGAGACATTTAACTTCTCGAAAAGCTTCGAATCAAAGCTTTTGATAACGCTCGAGACACTTACGTCCTCCTCATGCAGTGCTATATCAATTCCGTCTTAGGCTTTGACCATACATTACCAGTGTTACCGATGTTACTAGTGTTACTCGGCTACCACAAATCCCGCAGAATAAGCAGATGCACCTAGCAGTATTCGGTGCAGAATTTCTTCCCCTTTTCGGTAGCTAGTGCTCACCATTTGACCCTTCTCGAGCTTCTCTATACTCGCCAGATTTTCTACTCTTCGTCACCTTGGCCAATGTTGCTAGTAGACAGATTTTTTAGATTTCCGATGTAGTTTCGATTGCAAGCAGGTAGGAGAACTTGCCAGATGAAAGCAAATTTTTGCGTTTCTTCAGCTTCCTTTTCAAATTTGCTGAAGGATTCTCAAGTGTTAAGTCTTGAAAAAACTGCGTAACACATAAATGCACCAAACACTACACGTCCTTTATGAGCGAACCTGTGCTACTACTGACCTTAAATTACAAGGTAAATACGCAGTTTTCGCCTCAAAATACATTGAATTTCAGATTACAAATCAGATACTGGTAGAATTTGTAAATACGACGATTTTGCACGCAAATCTTGTTGTATCGTAATGAAAAAGCTGCTAGAAAGAATAGACTAAAGTTGCGTTGAAATATATCCAAACTTCTTTTTTGTTATATGAGGTTAAAAATTCGTAGCTTGGAAAAATAAATTTTAGTGATTAACTAACATGCCAAAGAATTATAAAGAGTTTACCGTGGCAGCCAGCAAATCACTCAAAAGTGTTGGCTACAAATTTTATGAAATAGCGAAATTTGAATCTGGTAAAAGGAATGGTTCAGTCTAATATTTGTGCGGTTTCACTAGGCTTTTCCCCCACGTAGTGACTATCATCGGAAGTGATGGGAATCCCTCGCAAGCTTTGGGCATTGCCAATCTGGAGAATACAAAAGCCACTATTAGGAGGCAAAAACATGTCGTGTAATACAAGAGTGTTAGAAATTCTATTGTGCATAGTAAACAGCAAGATACCAATTCTGAATGTGGACTTATCCTTCATCCACTCCGCAATAATAGGTACGTCTGGCAACAAGCTGCAAAATTAAAATTTATATTAGTGCTCCTTCAACTGCTGCGCATCTATGTGGATTGTTCAGTTCGTAGGCAGAAAGCTCGCTATTTGAATAGAGTAACCATTGAAACTATGAAGAGAGAATATTATCACGTTCTTTATAACACTCGAATCTTTCCCATATCAGTTAGCCGCAGACCCACGACCATTCTTCTTATCGTGATTCTTGCTCTATGACCAACAACTGTTATCTGAGCGCTACCCTTTGAAATCTCATCAGTGCTACACATTTTCCTTTACACACTGGTTTGGATAAAATGACCGGCGGTAAGTCTTATATGATCATACTTTTAGACAAAGGCTTTATATCTCCTAAACTCATTTTTTGAGCTTCATTTGATTTTGAGTCATATTTTGCAGTATTCATCTATATTGATGTGCAAATATCAACTTCAAGTTTCAAGCCGTGTCGCTTCTAAAGGTGCAAAGCCTATTCGGTTGCTGTATCATACGGACGTTCAAATTTCCGGAAATCAAAAAAGTTTAAGTGCAATGTTCTAAATTTTTACTAGCTTTTCAAGTACTCCGACTAACAAAAATTAGACTCATGCACACGTTGAAACTATTATAAAATGACTCAAAGGGAAGAATGGTTGAAAGAACGATTAATTTTCTTTTTGTATAATTCTTCTCGATATCGAGAGAGAGTTTATGGTGACACGAGAACTTGCCGTAAAATCTTCCTATGCATACTAACGAAGATCTGCATGTGTTCTAAATTTCGCGCTTACTACATGAAGCAACGAGTTACTTTCCTTGATGAGACAAAATAATAACGGCTAAACCTTAGAAGGAAATTGCTCTTTTGAGCAATGCTTGGGCGCTCGAAGAAGTCGTAAGTTTTTGATTGCCAAGAGGTAAACTCACTTCTTTTTCATAACCAACAACTCGTTTTCTTTCTCGCGGGCTTCTCTGAAGTTGATCAGATTTTCACTCTTTCCATGAGCAAACTGAGTTTAAGAAATAGCGTTGAAAATGCGTAGTATTTCCTAATAAATCTGAGCATCTTTGCATCTTCTGAGAAATAGAAAACATTGACTGTGCATTTGCAAAGTACTACATCATAGATATTAATGCTATTTTCAGATGCTCGCAATATCATCGAACCACTTTTGACTGACTACGTACGCACATTCAATGATGGTGATTTTGACCGTATGCACGGATTTTATCACAAAAATGCTGTGATGGTAGAAAAGGACAAAAGCGTGTTGTGGGGACAAAAAGGTTAGCTGAGACGCTTTTTTAAAATCAAATCCTACAATATTGAAGCATTCCCACATTCGCAATATATTGCATGATTTAGACATCGTAGCCTCTTTACTACAGATGGCCACCGACTGTGGAAAAACCAGAATAGAGGTAAGAGATGAGAAATAAACATGATCAGTGATAAATTTATCTTATCAGATCTCAAACTCGAAATACGACGGTATCGGGGACTTTCTCAACGTGACTACAGATTTCGCTTTTCACACAGAGAAGGTAAGGATTCTGTTAGGAGTGCATGCTGTGAGATAAATACCACGTTAGAAATAGCCCGATTTTGACTATTTATCATTGTACTTGTGGCTCAATGTTCATTACTCAACAACATCAGATCACGATTTCTGCGTTTTGCCGAGAACATAACTAGAAATTTCATTACAGAGTGGAGTGCTTCATGGGTCGTTCATACAAATCTGGAGGAGAGATGGAAACAGTTATACCATTTATCATGATGAATATGAAATGTTTTAGTGTTACTTGAGTCATCATTAGAATAAATATGATATTTATTACGTCTTCGCAACGGGGAACGCGATGCGGCAATAAATGTAGATAGCTATCACAGAAGCTTAAAAAGTGTCAACTTTTGTATATCTATATTCTGTTTCTTAGTATTTTGATCATATTTTTTTATTAGTTATAGGCATAGCCAGTGCTTACTCATATTCGATAACAGCTTCAAAGTAACGTAGAGGTTTTCAAACAATAGGTCGAAAATACCAAGAAGAAGTAGCATATACCCACAGATTTCTTAGTTTACCTGCTATCTATTAATTTATAAAAGTCCAAATTACAAGTTGAAAGAATAGCGGAATTCTCAGCACACAAAAAAGAAGTTTGAAAAATTTCTATTTTCTGGGGCCTTACAAAATTGGAAACACAACATAGAAAAAACATTGAATGCATACACGAAAGCTTCTCAATTGTTATCGTATCAGAATTCGTCTAGAAAAGCGAAAGACGGACAAAAGATGTCGCTGAACATTGTTCTTCGATCAGTAACTACGAGTGCGTGCTATTCTTTGGTCGATAAGACAGGTTCCAAGCGCAAATACACATAATCGCTACGGCAAGTTCTACTTCCACGAGTCCTTCCCACGGTCAAAGGACTGTTGAGGAGCAGTGTTTGATCTCAAAGGGACAACAACATGCATGCCTTATCGTCATAGCTATCACTCCTCTTCTTCTTTTTTGCTTGCTTGCCACTCCATATTATCGTTTCCGTCTCGCACTGACCCATGTTAAACGGGAAAGTAACGCTCAATATTTTTTCTCTGTCTCAGCAATCTAGTCCGGCTTCATAAAACTGGGAACTTATTTTGTCTATTATGGCATCCCTCAAATTAGTGCTTTGCTGTTTTATAACACTGCAATATGTCGCAGCCTACAAAATGGCTCTTTTTGTGCCAAATATGGCCAACAGCCAGGTAAATTTACAATCGAAAAGTTCTGCGAAGTACAATGGAGCAATGTAAATTATCATAGGTGCTATTCAATGCTCGAGTGGCTGAGACGTTGGCAAAGGCTGGTCATGATGTTACAATGATCATGATCACTTCTATGGACGACTTCGATGGCAGTGATGTGAAAATAATGCCGGAAGTGAAAAGTAAGTCTCAATTACATCTAGGTGCATATGTTAGCCACTGCTTCAAAAGATTTTTGCTGTGACATTGCAAAGACACTCCGCGTTGGCTTTCTGATTTTAAATTAAGCATTAAACTCGTGCAAAAATAATGCCCTCTCTTCTAAGCCTTTTTTCCGAACACCTTTTTTCCTTCAAACATTCCTTTTTCATAGATTCTATAGATCATTTGGATGCTTCCATATACTTTTTGAAAGAGGTGCAGTTGGGCTTCTATCCTCATTTGCTAGAGTTTTATCAGCATTTAACTTATTCCAATCAAAAATCATCCTTTTATTGCTTTCACTTTCCTAGCCACAGTTCAAGCTCAGATGATCGAAATTTTCTGGAGTCATAGCTACTGTATGGGATAGTATTGTTCACCCATGGCATGCTTAACTATATTTTAAAAATATTCGGACTAACAGTAAGAAATTGACGCCGCCAGGTGAACCTCGTTGCTGGCATTCTATGAGTAAAATTGAATAAGGCAATCGCCAAAGCTTTACTCATTCCTGTGAGTATGAGATTAACACATCTCACCTTCTATTTTGAAAAAACTTTACTCGTAATGTAGGGACGCTTATCGATAGCATTTCTAGCCTAAAAATGTTCAGAAAACAGTGTACCTAAAAAGACCCTCCAACTCTCCATTGTAGAAACGCAAATACTGCATATGTATCGCATATACAGTACTCTCTTATCATAGAAACTACAATATCTTTCATGCAACAAAGATGAACCATACGAGAGAGAGAGAAATATATCAAAATGAGTGCACATATTATCAGACAAGCTTCTAAGGAAGAGCCTATGCTTCTACGGTAGAGTGGAGTGGGAAATGACGACAGACAAAAGGCTGATCCTAATTGTAGCATTCTAATTGTAAGAACTGTTGACCTCTGCAGCGTTGATTTCATTTTTGGATCATTCTCTTCTACACCGCTCCAGCTTCTTCGCCGCCACTGATTGTGCAATCCAATATTCCGTAACTCAATTTGCGCTTACTACAATTATCTGGCTTCCTGAGGTCATCCTTGCATCTATGTAGAAATTATCAATAAATTCTCTTGTCTTCTTGATGCCAAAAAGTACCTGAAAGAAAAAAGACGCAAAAAGTCGTTCACTTTCGATCGTCCCCGTAAGCAGGATTTGGTAGTTTGTACGGAAAAAATTGAACATTGTTATTGATGAATGTTTTTTTTTCACTTCATGAAACATTCCAGTCCATCGCGTCAATGCGTCCTTTGGTCTAAAAAAGAAATATATGGAGGAACAACAAAGCAAAATGATCTTCCAGGTTAAATTTAGTCGTTCTTCAGAAACCTGCGATAGCCTTGCCCTTTCAGGATTTGCCCATGTGGGATCACCGACTTCGCGCACACCTTGACAGAATGACAACTTTTCTCACGGAATCCTGTCGAAGTGAGTCTTTATTTCATCAGACGTGCTAGAACTTTCAAATTAATATACTGCATCCCAGAAATGGTTGAAAACAAAGAGTTCCTGCGATGGCTGTCCAATCAAAAATTTGATTTGGCTTTTGCCCATATGTACGATGTGTGCCCTATAGGTCTTATTCATTATGCAAAGATCCCTTCGTGGATCTGGCTGAACAGGTCTGCAAATTTTTGTCTGGACTTATATACGCTATTCTCAAGTTCTTTAGTGGTGCCCTCACAGATTTCGTCGCCTATTACATGGGTGTCCCCATCATTCCCAGCTACGTCCCACGTATGTTCCTTTGTGTGATTCTGTCGCTGGAATATTTCAAAATTCTAATATGCTGTTTAGCACTGATCATGGAAAGCTCTGACCATATGAATTTCGTGGAAAGAACAAAGAGTCTAATAGGACATACGCTGATGACGATTCTATGGAAAAAGTGAGCCTCTCGCTACTCTAAAAAGATTTTTTGAAGCAGCATAAGATTTGTACCAAACAGCCCAACAAAAGGATTTAAGGGACAGCAGCCATTGGAATTTTGCAAGACTGTTTGTTGTATGAGAGTAGTACATAGTTCTCACATAACTACTGATTCCTACCTTTTCAATCTTTTCCTTCATTACCTAAAAATCTCTTGTCTCAGCTCTCCACTCAAATCCTACGCTCCCAACCCATTGTGAGAATTACGGCAGCCATCCTTCCCATTCGAGTAGGTACTTTTTTGTTTTTCGTTGTCAGCCGCGATGCTTTTTGCTGCAACCCCTTTCATGCAAAACCTTAAGTCAAATGGTAAGACGGTGCATCGAATTCTGGTCAAAATTTATTAATATCGAAATCAAAGTCATAAAAAGCTATTTATTGGCATACTATGCACGTTTTTTATCATTTAAATCCTGACCATTGATTTTTTGCTACTGATAGAACAACGCTTTCCGCCTACCTTTGAAGTCGATGAAATCTTATATATAAAGCTGAATGTCTGTTTGTCTGTCTGTCTGTCTGTATGTATGTATGTATGTATGTACGTATGTTCCGAATAGAAAATTCCATTTCTGAACCGATCGGGACCAAAATTGGCACACATACACATCGGGGCAGGGTGGGTGTCATAGGTTACTTTTCGTCATCGATCGATATCGATTCTATCGATTTTTTGCGAAATTTGAGATAGAGGGCTGGGAGTTCGCACAAGGGGGTAATCGAGCATGCTGATTACAAATATATTATTGACGGTACCGGCGGAGCTGGGTTTGCCAACTAGTTATTTATAAATGACAGGCGCTTGACATGGAGCAGGAATAATATAGCAAATAAACTAGTGGGAGACCTCCGATCGTGAGCCTAAATTCCCTAAATCATAGTGTATGCAGCTTTCAGGAAGTTTGCAGATAGAGAAACCACAATCTTCCAGGAGTTGATTGACGCTAATTTTCCCGATATAGTGGATATTGCGAAAAAATGCCCTCTGGTAAATAGCCTGAATTTTATGGGGACTTACAAAAAATCAATAATTCCATTCAGGTTATGGTCAACTCGAACGAAATGTATGATCTTCCGCGACCGACTTTGGCGAAAATTGTGAATATTGGAGGAGTTGGAATAGAGAAGATGAATGCTAGGCCACTTCCTCAGGTAGGCCCTTAGAACAATTGTATGCTCAAGAACAGGTCTCGGCGCAGCTGCAACCTGGAAGTTGCAAAGCTTTTGAAGTTTTGACAGTGATAAGAAATTTTTACTAGAACGTTTTCCATAGATTACGATGTATGTAGGCATTTGTTCAGTCACTCTGAAAATTTTGTTTTCTCGTTTGGACGGACGCCAAATCTCTGAAGAAGCTACCAAGAAAAAGATCTAGAACGTAAGCAATAACTCATCTGTTTTCTTCATTGTGACCAAGCTTGAGATCAGGACCAGTATCCACGAATTCCCACACTGGAGGATGATGGACTTGTGTAGCCCATTTTATGCGTTTGCGGTAAAAACTAGTCGAAATCGGCTCCTTACGATATCCAAAATTTTTCATCCCATCGTAACCGCGAGGCAAAGCGGTGAAGTGAAAATGATTCGAGCTTACTTGAAATATCGCTTACGGAAGATGACGTCAAAAGTCCATTTTAAAGTGGGACGGTCATTCTTTCGTAAAGTAAAGTCATTCTCTCTCACCTTTCTGATAAGCCCATTTTACTCCCAGCAGCCAGATGTGCTGGGACTAAGTGCATTTTTGACCTTTTTGCCTCATCTCACCTTTTCTCAGACATTCGATGTTGACTCGCGCAGCCCAAAGTTTTGTGAAAGCGCGGAATGACGGCGCGACACAAGTATTCGGCCTCGCGACAAAATCCCGAGACAGCACTATGTGTCCGGACAATGCTGCGCGAGATAACGATTTGGCGCGACCCACATCTTGCAGAAAATACGCGGTAGCTCGAGCGCGAGACATCCTGATGACCGGACGCAGGAGGAGCGCGTTATTACACAGTAATCATTTTGCTATATCCCTACTTGCTCTAAATTATATACGTATCTGCATATATTATGTATATATACATATATACATAAACATACATGTATATATACATATATAAACGCACATATATACATATATACGTACATACAGTATCGTCCCCTCCACAGATCATGCTACCCTTGGTCTGCGTCTCAGACCTGCCACGTGTGGCTAGCATGTTGGCAACGTGGCAACAACAGGTTTGCAACATGCCTTAGCATGTTGACAGAACATTTTGGCCACGCCAACATGTTGCTGCATGTTGCAAACATGCTGCTGCCAACGTTGCCAATGTGTTAGTCACACGGGTACGTCCGCGACGCCACAAGAGTAGCACGATCTGTGGAGGGGACGATATATATATATATATATATATAAAATATACAGCCAAAACTAACAAATTTATCACTCCTAAAAGCACGTAAGAAAGAAAAAAACTAAAAAGAACTTCGGAGGAGCCAAAGTACTGTGCTTACTATCTTGAAGCTTCACAATATGGGACTCATCACATGATAACATAGATGTGTATTAGGTAGCCGTTTGATCAACGAGAATCGCAAATTGAAAAAAAGATAGTGGCTGCAGATGGGCTAAATCTCGTCGGGGCTGGTCTTTTCTATTTTCTTGAAAGCGGAGGAACTGCTTGCCGTCGTCTCAACCACACGCATTTTCTGAAAAAAAGATACGAGAGTTGACAGTGGAGACTGGGGAAGAAGTGCATGGTATCTTACCTTTGGAGGGGACAGTTTAGCTCTTTCCGGATTGAGTTTGTCGGCTCGTACACTCCCCTGGAAAAAGCAAGATAGAATGTCTATGCGCCTTATCACTACCTTGAGAGCATACAAGGCTCTTCCGCGGACTATGCGAGCGAAGACCGCTCAATCCATTCTGGCTTGTGAAAGCATGTCGAAAGCTTTTGTTCGCTTCTCGTCATCCTTTTGTCAGATAAATTATTCAAAAATGAAGCAAGCTTAAGATTTTCCAAAACGTACATCGTTGAATTCCGGATTAATTCTGAAGCGGGTTGCAGCAAATCGTCGAGTATAAGCCAAGACCATCCAAACGAAACCTCAAAAAATGACAGTGTTGAACCTACTGATTAAAAATGTGGCGAGTGACTCCGGTAAATCCATTAAGTGTTCGTACATTCCTTTTTTCCGCTCTGGCGGCACGCATAGTGCTGAATCTCGGTTGCAGAAGACATGGAGGCTTCTTCTGAACGCGCATTACGATTATAAGCCGATCTAAGATTGGTTGAACATACCGCACAATTCTCTCCTAGTTGTCCTGTAGAATCTCCGCGGCTTTACTTCGCCCTCTACCGCCGCAAGGGATAGAACTCTAATGTGTTAAGTAATCTACAACTTGTTGATGACTGTGCAGTATATTGAAAAGTATTTTGTAGTGTTTGCAAAGCGTTATGTGTTATGTTGTTATGTTTGTAAAAAACTGTCATCGTTTGGTAATCGCTGCTTGTAATAGTATAAGCGTTGACAATGTTGTGGAACACACTTAATCGTGGTAAGAAAATTGTAATAGAAAAACAATGTAAGCGCTTTGTTCAACGGCTAGCCGTCTGACCTCAAACACTTAAGGACAGCGTTTGGATAAACACTCGACCTCATTTTGTCTCTTCTAACCCGAACGGCCCTGTTGCGCTCAAAGACAGACTTTGAAGCCTATGAAAAGCACCACAACAGCGCTTGAAAGGTCTTTGAAAGTGACACCTTTTCAACATTCATGCAAATCTCTGATACCTCACATATGCTTGAGCCGATGCCCATGCACCCAGAGCTTACAGCGGCGCTGGTTATACTACTAGGATCAAAAATATGATACATTTAACTTTCGTATTCCATTGGTCAAAAGGTAACGAGTACAGAAAACGCATACCTCTTCCGGATGCGAATGCACTTGGGGGCAATGGCTCACCAGAGAAATGACCCTCGGCCTCACTCTTCTCCGAAGACGACATGCAAAAAAATACTCCAAAATCATAATGTATAATCAGTGATCGAAAAACGAAAGATACGAACCTACCGATTGAGCAACTTTGCTCAAATTGCGACCAAGCAGCGTATGGTCTCAAAGCAACTCAGCTAGCACTACGTTCTTTAATGATATTAATCAGACTCACTGAATCAAATACGAAAATGAACATTACTTATCGAAATCGTAAAGGAAATGTACGGCCAACCTCTATATTCAAAAAATAATGAATTTAGTAGAAGGTGTTGTTGTTATTCAAACTCGCGTTGTTCAACCTGCTCGATCTAGTTTCTCAACGTTTTCATCTCCCGATTACCTTTCGCGAGAATCCCGAAAATCTGGAAAAAAATTGTCTCGCGCATGTCTACGCGCTTTTCTGGGAATCCCTCAAAAAGGGGCGGATCTCCGGCGCGAGTCAACAACGAATGACCGAGCACTTACGATATCCAAAATTTTTCATCCCATCGTATCCGCGAGGCAAGCGGTGAAGTGAAAATGATTCGAGCTTACTTGAGCTATCGCTCGCGGAAGATGACGTCAAAGTCCATTTGAAACTGGGACGGCCATTCTCTCATAAAGTAAAGTCATTCTCTCTTACCTTTCTGATAAGCCCATTTTACACCCAGCATCAGATTGCTGAGACTATGTCCATTTTTGACCCTTTTGCCTATTTTTGACACCATAGTTTTGCAAGCATGTTTTTGGTTTATTTAAGGATAAACCAAAGAAAAAAGTTTCAGACTTTCTGTAAGAGTTAAAAATAAACTTTTTTTAAATATGTTTAGAACCCATGGAAATTTTTAAAAAAAGTTTTTGTTTCGTAATTTGTACTTCCTAGCTTATCTGCTCGAAAGCGACCCATAGAAAGTTCAAGGATAATGAAGACGACTTGTCGTATAATGTAGAGAACAATAGTTGATTGACCCATGTGATCAAAGGCGCAGCTACATTATTTTCATAAATTCGTGTTCTACAATCATTAGCAACACTTCATATACTCTCGCAAAAATTATTACAGACAGCATTATTTTACTTTTCATTATTGCTACTAGATGACATTTCTTGCACATTATAATTTTTTGAACAAAGCTATTTCTTGATTGATTTTTTCAGTTTCCAGATGGAGTTTGCTTAACTCTAAATCATCAAATACAGCTGCTTCATGTCCTCGAGTTCGACTTTCTTCGTCTTACTAGTACTTTCGTTCCTCGACTTTGTGGCAGAATAATTTTCATTTTCATCAACCTCCTGATAGCTGCAAATGTATTTAACTTGACTTGCGAAAAGAAACTTGAGTTTACACCCTCCGAGCAACGTCTGATTCACTAATGGCGTCATCGTTAATACAGGATCCATTACTAATTTCAACCAATTTCAACCATGTAGGTGGGCAGAACAGCCCAGTTGATCCGCCCCCAGTTTTGTTCCTCTCCTCTCTCTGAATTATACTTTCCATTTCCTAACATCGCAAATCCTACTCAGAACCAGGGCGCAGCAAGGGGTGATGCCCCCCCCCCTTCCCCCAAAAGCGGGTTCTGCAAACTTTTAATACTTTTTAAGTTGAGTTGTGAAACTGTGCAAGCGACTCATGTTTCTTTGCAAATAACCAAAATATCTTTGTTATTTTTCTTAAAAATCAGATTAGCTTTTTAAAATTTTGGGACTGCTCCCACGCCCCTTTTTTGGGAATTTATGGGGTCATAGGTCTTGTAAAAGTTTGAAGCATTCCAAGAATCTTTGAGTAATTTTCGAAATTTTTCGCCCTTTCACTGAAAAAAATTTCTGCCCCCCCCCCATTCCTCAAACGGACCTCGGAGCTCCACTTCTCGGAACGTACTTCTTTCTTCAATTGCTTCTCCGCTCTTCGTTGCATATCGATTATTCTGTCTTATCTGTGACGATGTAATTGTTGAATGTCCCAATTTCGTTATTTGCGCCGCCCACTCAAGCGCTAGACGTTCCTATGCGACGCTTTTATAATAATAAGATAATCCTGTAGATTCCTGCTGCGAACGTTCGTTCTTCGCTGCGCCTACCAGTTTTGAATGATACAGGTCCTTTATTCGCATGAGTCGGCTTAATTCCAACTCATCATCTATAATAACATTCTGATAAAGAGGTGTTTGTCGAAACTTCAGGTGATGGTGTAAAAGGCAGATAGAGACGACGAATGAGAAAATAGAAAGAAGTAAAGAAAAAACACAGTCAGATACGAGCCAGCAGAAGGTTGAACACGCAGGGCAGGCGTAGATTGAGGCGAATAAAACTGAGTTAAAACGATTAGAGGCAGGTTGGACAAGCGTGGACGTGTCAAGGAACTTAGCTGGAACATGTCAGCATGTAGTCCGACTTAGACAAGTAAGCTTGTCTGGAAGTGGTTACTAGGTAAAAGCGTTATATCTGAATAAAATGGAATGCCGCGGATGCGATATCTTATCGCAACGCAGGGACTAAGCCTCTTCTCGAAACTGGACCCCAGGATCGTATTTTGCATGAATTCATGGCGTGACGCGTGCGTCCTCGCCATAAATCCATGCGAATACGATCCTGAGGTCCAGTTTGGACGCGTATATCCGAATCGTTAGTGAGCCACCTGTAATGCCGCTTGGGCAGTGCCTTAGTTAGGTCCCCAAGATTACTTCTCACGTTAAATCGCCATAGGTCCAGATCCGCCTGGACGCTGCCTTTAAGTAAGTGCAAAGCATGGAGATCTTTTTTCACAGGCGTATCAAGTCTTTCAAGTTCATTTATTCTGACAAAAGTAACGAAAGAAATAAAACAAAACAAAATCGAGTTATTCAGTGGTTGTTTATCAATAGAAACAAGCCATCCTTTAATTTTTCATTGAATTAAATCGCGTGATAGTGCATGTTACTTGGATGGAGTTTCAGTTCCTGAAGCAAATAAGGATGTATCAGATGTGTATAGCATATTCTGCAATATTTCTTTTGCTCTGAGACCATTATACTGTTACGTGAGACAAGTATACTACAAAAGAGGAGATGACCCGCTTTTTGGTGTTGCTCGAGCCTACATGGGGATTGCCGTATATAGTACATTGTTGGTGCATGTGCCATGTAGTATATGTTGATCTAACACTTGTTTCTCCTGGTCTATGCTCATTCGATGAGAGCTGAATGAAATATTGCCAAGGATTTCTTATCACATTGTATGTGAATATGAAAATAAAGTGTTGAGCCAGAAACTGGTGGTAACGCTAGCCCCAATAACGATTCGCTACGCTGTAGCTGATCCCGATTGGCGTCTGCGCCATTTTCGCGCACCGGCTGGCGGGCGGCCGGCGGCCGTCGCCAGAACTAAGGTGTTGCGTCAGCCGGTTGTCGCCCTGTCACCAGGCGGTAAATGTATGTGAGCGTTTAGTTCCCTATGTCGAGCTCTGGGCGCATTGCTTTCCCGAATGAAAATTAACCCTAATTATTTTATTTTTCGCAATCTATGTGCTGATGTAGGAGTTCTGTTATTCCCCCAGGTCATGTCACCAAAGTCCAATTCGACACAAAGGTGTTCACTATCATTTTCGTTCCAGGAATACCAACAAATTGTGGATAATGCTGAAGGCTTGGTGGTGTTTTCGTTTGGATCAGTGGCTCCAGGCCACAAAATGCCAACTGAGTGGAAGCTATCTTTTATTGAGGCTTTCAAGAGCTTCCCGAATTATCATGTCTTTTGGAGATATGCAGGAACAGATCTTAAAGGTACCACCGATTATATGTGGATGGGCTCGTGGGCAAAAGATGTAATTCTAAACACATCATTACATGAACATTAATATCTGTCTGTCTGTTTGAATTAGGGAATCAAAATTTCAAAATGTTATCTTTTGAAACGTGCAGGTGATCTGTTTACTTTTGAATGATTGATATGTATTTTCATAAAATTGTGAAAATTGAGAAAGCGCTGCAAAATCTCACGTCTTTGCTAAAACTTTTCTGTTACAAGTTTGCAGAAGTTCGAAGCTCTGAAAAGTTAGCGCGTTGCTTCCAACAACAGAACAAACTTGCATACGTAATATGAAAGTTCTCGTTTCTCCTGTTTGGACAAATTCGATCCCCTTCCCCACCTATCCACATATGATAGTTCCTCAAAATGCTAAATGGTTTTGTCATCAAAAATTTTTCTCGTAACGGCCTTTCGGTGATTCACAGTTTTTTGGCACATATAGAATTCAATACGATGATCATTACCGATGTATTATGCTCATATCCATATCTTCTAATTTACTATAAAATTGAATTCAGACAAGATACCCCCAAATGTTCATTTATTTGACTGGCTTCCACAATCAGATTTGTTGATACATCCTAAAACGAAGGCATTTATATCACACGGTGGTTATAACAGCATACAGGTAGGGAGGGGAGTTAACATTTTTTTTGAATTTTCTCTGCGTATGGACTCGATCACTTCAGGAAGCGATCTCAGCCGGTGTTCCAATGATCACCATCGCATTATTCGGAGACCAACCCAAAAATGCAAAATTAGCTGAAAGACAGCAATTCTCGATAAATCTTCGCAAGAGTGAGCTCAGTGCCGAAACAATAGCTGATGCACTCAGTGAGATATTCAACGACCAAAGGTATATGTGACTTTTTGGGGAAGAAATTAGCTAAATTATTTGACTTTGTTATAGTTACTCAGAAAGAATCAAGCAGCTGTCAGAAATGGTCGAGAAAAAGCCATTGAGTCCATCTCACTTACTGGTTTCATGGGCTGCATTCACTGCAGAGTTCAAAACACTTGACAACCTCGTTCCAGCCGGGAACAAGCTCAACTTTTTCCAGTACCACTCACTGGATGTCATTGCTTTTCTTTTGGGTGTTGCTTTCTTGTCTTTACTAATCTTCTTCAAATTGCTCAAGTTAGTACTGTCAAAGGGATTGAACATGTTGTTCAGAACTCAGAAGGAGAAAAAAGCCTAGTGTTTTATAGGTGTTGTTTGAGTGATGATCTTTCTCTGTGTCTCACTTCTTCAATTCTACTTCTCCGATCTGATTTAGAATGATCTAACAATAAGTGTATGTTATTTCCCCGCCAATGTGCTTCATTATGTTTTCTGCAACTGTGAAAAAACGCATTCGTGATTAAATTTAAAAAATTTCAAAAGCTTTTTATAACTGGTTTTGATGATTTGTAAGCATCACCGATCTTCCTCATCAACAAGAGACATCTGATTGTGAGTACTATTGTAGGTCACTTTTACGACCGAACAAGAAACATGGAGCGCTCTTCAAGTATTACGTTGTCCCGAAAGTTTTGTCCGTTTTTTCATCGCTCACTAAAACTCAGTGAATATCAATTCATGGACAACTTAGGTACCATTTGATTCAGATTTTTGCACTCTTTCTTAAAGCTGTATTTGATCTCTGATCTACCCTGTCTTTGCAATGTTATTGCCATGGCAGTTTGAGCAGTTCAGCAGTAACGTCAAATGTTTCCTGAATTTTAGAAAATTTTACCCTGGTATTTAGATCGCTGGTAACCGTTATAAAGAACAAACCTTTGGCTACATAATTTCCATTTCAGATTACATGGGCCACGTTTGCCAAGTCCCTTATAATTATTTATTTTTGTAAACCGCGGGTTTTTGGTTACGTTTAGCACGTAAAAGTCCAGAAACTCGGAAAAGCTGCTTTCTCAGAGCAAATCAAACTTGGTTAGTTTGCATAAATGTTCGATAAGAATCTTGTTTCAATAGAAACTTCAAAAGCTTTCGTATAATTGCTGTGGTTGCGTGTTTCACGACTTTGCCAGAAATCGATAATCTAAAAAATTATCTTGTATTCCGCGAATTGCTCTATTTGAACCATACTTAACACTTTCCGAAACTTTAGAATGAAATTTTCAAAAATTAGCTTAATCTTGAGCAGATAGAATTGACGGGTGGAGAATTTTGGCAATTATCAAAAAGAGCATACAAGACTGTGATCCGGAAATGTATCCATAAGAAAGAGAAGGAAAAGCTGCATCGAATGCATTTTGGAACCCATTCAGGTCTTTACTGTGCGTGGTTTTACAATGGTTTGAAAAAACGGACAACCTACTATACGGGTGCGGAAAAAGTACTGTCCCTCAAAACGAAGTTCCAAAAATTGGCGTAATTCACAGGTTTTTGTGGTAAATTTGACATAATTCCCAAGATCGGAATATATTCTGTCATTTTACAAAAACTGGCTTCAAAATTCTACAATTTTACCCCCGGCAGCGGATCCCTTTTCGCAGCGCAACTCATATCAAATCTTGCAATTCCCCTTTACAAAGGTGAAGAAGTGTGAGAATTTGAAAATTTTTTGTTTATCATTCGACTTGAGAAATCCTCTGCTGCCTAAGGAATGTGGTAGTGAATCCTGAAATATTCTGAAAGTAACAAGTTAGCACTTGCATTAGGAGAAAAGCTGTGAGTTTTTCTAACGAGAAAGTGGCTGCGGCGCAACAGAGTACGAATAGAAAACGTGGCATAGAGACTAGCTAATGGTTTATCGCTCCAAAATCGTGATGTAGACAAAGTCCGGTACTCTTTTCATTATTCCTTTTACTTTTGGTTGGAATCTGGAATTTCAAATCATAGTTTGAGTCCAATTCATTAAGCAAGCGCAGTCCTGACTCGCCTCTTTTTCGAGAATACTTGCGATTTGCGTGTGGTATAATCTTCCTTATTTGGCCAAAACAAGAGTCACTAATCTATAATTCATCTAAAATGGATACAGAATATTGGAGAAGAGGTCATGCACTATATAACAGCTTAATTTGAACCTTATATTAATGCTGGTGGTATAGTTACGGCCCAAAATCGCGCTTGTATGCTATCGGCGCATCGTTAATGTTCTTGCGCGCTGTTATCACTCGTTCAAACGAGCAGAAGGGAACAGTTTCAATTAAACTTATCTTTATCTAATCTCAAGGATCTCGCCTACGTGTGGGTATCAAAAAACTACCAGATTTTCTTTGTATTTGAGGTATTTCAGGCGATAGAGGGACAGTAGTTTTTCCGCACCCTATATATTAACACCACATAAAGAACTTTGTAAACTAGAAAAACCCTGCATTCGCTCCATACTGTAAATCTGCTTACTACTGTAAGTTCAGACCAACCCTACAGAATAATACCTGAAATTCTCGAAAGACAATCGCGCAACAGAGATCAGCACTCACACATTAACAGCCTACAATCAGGGCCAGCACGAGGGTTGCAAATAGACATCGCTGAAAAGACTCTATCGACTTTTACGATTTCCCACTTGATCCTGCCAACTACGCAGATTGTTCGATGAGCGCACTTTCTTCCTTCGACTGGCGTCGTTGCTATTACGCATCCTGACAAAGAGGAGAGAGAAGTTTTGGAACCAAAATGTTACTTTATACTAAATTCTAAAAATGAACAGATTTATATGAAAATTTTCAAATATTTGTGTGAAATGGAAGTTTTTCCTAATTCAAGTGAGCATAAGTAAGCAACTTGCCCACCTACCTGGAAAAAAATTAGCATGCTCCTTATTTACATGGGCTTTTTGCTTCTTCACACTTTGCTTCTTAGCCCTATGCGAGTATAGACAGGGAGGCGTGCAAGTGGTACAGAAAAACGTGATATCCTCGATATCTATATCATTTCGAACAGCAGAAAATTCATGTTTTTAAGAAACATGCAAGAAACAGAAACATGGCATACTTTCATCTTTTATCATTGACCTACTCAATTTGATTGACCTACTTTGCCTTATTTAGCTCGGTTAACACCACATTGTATAAAATAATTATTTTGACAGAGTTTTCTTACCGTTATGTCCATGACAATTCCTGTTATTGTTCTCGTCCGTTCTTTGACGTAAAAGCGAGATAAAGATCTCTAGAAATTTGAGAAATTTCTGAACTTTTCAGCTTCCGCTATCTTTGAGTTTTTGGAGTGATTTGAATTTGTGATCATTTTCCTTTGAAAAAGCCTCTCCCCTGTTTGTAAAACCATTGTTTATTTGCATGTTTCTTAAAAAACTGAATTTTCTGGCGTTCAAAATGATACAGATATCGAGGATATCACGCTTTCCTGAGGCTGATTTCGCACCTCAGAGCGACGAGGTGCGAGAAAACCTCTTGGCAAGAGTTTTAAACGATGAGCGTAATTACTGTACCATCTGCAGCGGCTTTGCCGGCAGCTCTGGCGGCTGACTGCGGTAGCAGTCGGCTGCCCGGGTACCACTTGCTACGCACCCGTATAGACACCAAATTTCGTGTTAGTTGTCTGTGCGTTGCAAACGAATTATATTATCATTTTATGATAGTGGGATATTTTCAGAAAAAAGCTTGCCACAGCCTTCTGTCAAATAATTTTTCCACGATACTCTGCATTGTGCTCCTCATATTCCATGTCCGTTTATACTCGAAATTCTTAAGCATATGTGTGCGCCGTAACCGAGACCTTCAATTACAACTCAGTGGAAAAAAATTCGGATTTTTGAAGATGACGCGCGAGCTAGGTCGTGCTTTTGCATGTCATTGGTGTAGCAACCTGTCGAGAGAGTGTATTTACATGTGAGGGTAAGGCCAGTCTGGCTCGACCTTAGGCATATTTACGATGACCCCTTTGCTTTTCATCCAAAAAGATTTCCAGCTTGACATCTGCCCACCTCGTGCCGGGCCCTGCTTGCAATGCTGGTGTCAGGCGCGAGAACAGTTTTGCTATGATGGAGATTCCACTGAATTGCCGTATGATCATTGCTGTAGAGAAACAAATTCGGTATATTGTTCTAATCACTAAACTATTTTCGAATGAGTAACTTTTTCGAGAGTTGTCCGGCAGGTGCGGTAGTCATAAGTAAAGGCTAGTGCATGACGAAGGCGCAGAAGCCGTATTAGGTGAGCGTGCGCAAGCGCGGTGCGCGCGTATCTTTACCGTTGTAAATTCTGCGCCTCATGCGCTCTGCGGTTAAAAAAGCCGCGTTCGCGCCCAAAAGTATTGCGCCTTCGTCATGCAGCAGCCTGTAATTGTATCATTTTTACGGAGATTAGAAAACAAATAAATTTGCAGCAGTTGTATCAAGTGTCTCCATTTGGCTGAACGTTCTTGCTGATAGAAGAGCTTTTAGGTTTTTTGATTGGGATCGTAGCAATCGTAGTTAACGCCGATATTATCTGCTAAAGAACAAATTTATCAAAATATCACAATCTATGAATTTTGAGTCATTTTTCATGTTAACAGAATACGGTGTTCGATCCAATCATCTATCCTTGGGCACCGTCTCCACCTGCGGGCGTCCTGAGTCCTCGCTTCACTGTTCGAGGCGCCATCATCTAGAAACGCATTCATTTTCCTCTTCACAAATACTAAAAACTATATTCTTTTGTGAAGTCGATTTCTAGACAAAGCGGATAATCGCGAGAGGATTTTTGCTGAGCTAATGTAGGTTGAAGTTAGTGATGATTTCTTCCTGCGTGGGATGACAAGTGGTGCGGGCTTGAAAGCTGTCTTTTTTTTACGAAATAGGTCCAAGTGGTTTGGGTCTCTGCTAGCTTACATTATGTTGAATGCAGAATTTCGCAGCGTCAAACCTGCATGTAAGCGAGAAAACGGATTGAAAACACTTTTCAAAATTTTTATGCGGCTAGGTGCTTTTGAGCCACTTCAGCCGTACGTAACAAAGGAAATTGGTTTTCTTGTTTCCATTATATATTCACATCTCACTCGGCTCAATGATAGTGGTCATATGTTTTACTGTGTAAATAGATGATCACATAGATTCAAAGGCAGTGTCCGGGCAAAAACTCGTTTTTTAGAAAGTCCACTCACCGGGAGTTATCCGCAACCCTGAATCCGAAAATCCACATTAGAAGGCGCGAATATGGCGAGAACATGCGTTTTCCAAAGCCTTACAAATTGAAATTCGATGGTCCCCGCCAGGACTGAGACGCAGAGTCGCTGCGGGACCCTGCGATTTTGACTGTGGCGGCATGCACGCATACGTATACGTACGCACGTGCGTGCGTACGTATGCGTATAGTATACTCTACTGCATAGCAGGAATCTAGACAGGCCGGAGGACTCCGCCCCAAGGAGGGCGTGCAGGAGTTCCTAGCACCTTTCCTCGCACCAACTTCGCACCAGATTCGCACCAGGAGGGTTCTAGCACCTCCGTGCCCTAGAGGTCAGGACCCGCCTATTGCTCCTCCTATTAACCGGTCTCATTGTGAGGCGTGCAAGCAGCGAGAACGTAGATTCAGGTATTAAGGTGATAAGAGAAAAAAATGGAGAAAAAACGGAACATAGTTATCATTTCTTTAGTGAGGCGGCTTGGAAACTTCTGCTATGCCATCCTTTTGAAAAAGAACAACATGAACGTTACTCTAAGAAGAGGAAAATAACAGAGAAATTTTTGAATGGAAAATGCGGTCATTCGAAATATTAGAGGATCTAGTCGATAAATTCTACAATACTGGTCATCTGATTGAAGTAATTTAGCATCAGGAGCTTCAGAACCCAATTCTTTCACAACAACAGAAGGACCTATTTTGAAAGATGTGCATCAAAGTTTCCGAACAAGCACTTAACGCTTTCCAACGGATAGGATATCTAAACACATACTTTTTTTTATCGTCTGCCATCATACATTCAAAGAGTTTTTCATTCCGATTACTCTAATGATCAGTAAGGCCCAGATTATCATAAAGAAATTTTGTATTTCCTACAATCGTTCTGCTAGATTACCAAACTTCGTCGCGTGATCGAAGAGTTAACTAGGCCAAATACGACACTGAATTTGCAAGATGTGGTAATTCGCTATATTCTTAGATGAATTCAGAACTTGCGTAAAATAGACTAACTTTCCTGTTATATACCGTGATTGGAAGACTCATAACTTCTGCTTAATTTATATTAATGCGATATGTTTCACAAATATAGTCAGGCGCGAGCAATTAAAAGTTTTTAAGGAAGCGTCAATCTATCTGAAAACATGAGTAATACATAACTCCCAAATGCTGCAATTCACCTGCGGATTCTGAACCTTTTAAAACCTAGAATTTTTTTTTGTTTCTCCATTCCACTTCTATTATCCTCATATATAATGAGGCATGTCTTACAGTGCATGTACACAATTTAGAATGAGGGCACCTAGAGGGAAGAGTGATGGGCGGAGCCGCCCTTTGGCCCCGAGAAGGTGTGTTGTCCTTCAAGGGATTTCTGGAGGTGCCAAGTACCCCTGCGAGGAAAAGCGGCTAGGCTTTGGGAACTCCTGCCACGCCGCCCCGCCCCAAGGCGTAAGTTTCCCACTTTCCGATAGTTTTTCTTGCTTTAGGTTCGAACGCCATAATCTCGTTCTTGTGCAGTGCTGTGTCTGAAGGGACCACTATCGCTTGGCACTGAAGTCCTAAAACCCCACCTTGCCCGGACGCTGCCTTTAACAACGAAGTCAAATCCACAGTGTCAAGCGTTCAGTGGCACGGCACACCAAACGGCCTACTGATTGAATATGAAGATCGCTATCGGTTGGAGATAGAACAAGCTACCTTTTTTGTTCATGATCATGGTAATATCATGGTCAGCCTTTGCCAAGTCTTAGTCACTCGAGCATTAAACAGCATCTACATGCGATGATTTGCATTGCTCAATTGTACTTCGCAGAGCTTATATATTGTAAATATATCTGACAGCCAATGGCGTACCCAGGATTTCCGCTCGGGGGGGGGGGGGAAGGGCGCAACAAAAAAATTTTTCGGATGAAGGTGTGTGGCTTTAGCCACGCACTAATTTTTTGAGATGCTTTCCAAAGTTTTCGTGGCCCCGCGGCAGCCACGCCCCCCGAAAAAATTTTTTCACAGGGCTAATTTGAATTTTTAAAAATTTTTAAAAGTTATGTTAATTATTTACATGTAGAAACAAGTCGCTTGCATATTTTTATAACACATTTTAGTACCTTTCACCCCTTCGGTACGCCACTGCTGACAGCTGGCCATGTTTGGCACGAAAAGAGTTTTGTAAGCTGCGAAATCTTGCAGTGTTATAAAACAGCATAGCAATCATCTTAGGGATATTATAATGGACAAAATAAGTTTACAGACTTATGACGCCAGATTAGATTTGCAAGAAGAGAAAAATTTTTTTGTTGTTCTCCGATTCTTTTACAAACTTTTTCTTGAATCCTTAAGCTTTCCAATGACTCTCCTAACATGAAGTATAAACCAATATTGGGCGTGATTGTAGGTCCATGAATTCACAGAGTTTTTTTTCTTCTAGACGTCGCGGTATGTTCTGAGAGATGACCAAGCAAGGTGGAGTATTGTATACTAAGCGTGTGTTACCTATCCTGCTTGATCCTGGTCAGACAACTAGTATTGACCAAAAAAGGTAAGACCATTTTGAGTAAGTCAAAGTATGTACAGTCGAATCATTTCATATGATCATGAGTGTCACTGCACACACGGTTCATCTTTGGCGTTCCCGTTCCCGTTTTTTGAAGCAGACAACCCTTGATTTGAGTGTTTTTGATGTGTTCTTTATGTTTTCTTTCTTTTTGGGTGATAATCACCCCAAAGTGATGCAAGCAATAGCAATTGGTCATTCTTCCGCGTTTTTACAATTGCAAGTTGCAAGATTGCAAGATTGCAAGTCCAGGATGAGGACGCCAAAGATGGACGGTGTGTGCAATGCACACATGATCATTTGAGATGGTTTGACTGTACCAGTAGTTGCATATAAAAAATATATTCATAAAAAAATCTCACCTTAGCTCTTTGCTCATGAGACGCGTAAGCGATTGGAGAAAATGGTGGAAGCGGCACAAATTTACCAGAACCTGGTGTAGTCTGCAGTTGATTGTTTGTCCATACGATCTATGTGAAAGTATGTAGCACATATGTGCTGATGGATAGTCAAAAAAATGAGCCACCTTTCCACGCGAAATGGTTGTTTCTGCCAAACCATGCACCACTTGCCCTTCGAAAATGTTGTAATCAATAGCCTAAATCCACTTTGCATTTTTGCTTTCCTTTTTCTTGCACTTACGTGGTGGTGAGTTGACTTTGAGATAACTCTGCTGGCATTAGGATTCCAAATGACCACATCTGCATCGGATCCAACAGCAATTCTGCCCTTTTTGGGATAAATGTTGAAGATCTTGGCTGCCATCGAGCTACAATCGTCATATAAGGATATTTCAAGATAAAATGTCAACAACCCACCTTGTGATCGAGACAAATTTCATGGGATCAATCTTGCCGCGATGAACTCCTCGCTCCCATACAACACCCATTCTGTCTTCAATTCCGTTTACGCCATTGGGGATTTTCGTGAAATCATGTAGCCCCATTGCTTTTTGTTTATTCGTAAAGGTGCAGTTATCCGTGCCAATGAGGTGAAGCTCTCCACTACAAATGTTTACATAAATCTTAGAAACTTCCTGGTCAGGGATGACTTACGCAGCCAGCATATCCATAAGAAAGTCAGGGGTGGTGGGATCGCGACTAAGCGGTGGGGACATCACATACCGCGCTGCATGTTCCCAGTCCTGAATGAAATTTCGTGTGATTTGATTAAAGAAAAGAGCTAGGGGCTTACCGGGCTATAGTAATGAGAACCATCGACTGCCAGTCCAGCTGCTATCGGTTCGCCGAATACAACATAACCTGGAGCAGCGAAACCTTTTGACACATACGGAATTATCCATCGTCTACACTTTGAATCAACTGGAACGGCGGCTGGTAGGCTGAGCTTGTGAGCTAACTGACGCTAGGTAATCAAAGAGCACGCGCGAGGGAGAGACGCAGACTGCGTCACGGACGCGAGCGGCCTTAATTAGGTCACAAAGCCCCGCCTTCCAGCCGCCAAGTCAGTTGAATCAAATTTTAAAATTCCGTATGTAGTCTACTGTAATTCTATAGCTTATAAGCTGCGAGAAAATATGGAAAGAACAAGAAAAAAGAAACTAAATGGATGAAGAATTAGTACTGATCGGTGATAATTGTTGTTCGATGATCTTTTTCAATTTGATTTGCGAACAATTGTTTGCTGCTATCATGATCGTCAACACAGCGACTCATTATAGTGTTCTTCTACCAAACACCCAATCAAATTCTCGTAAAAATTCAAATCTTATCGTTGCATTTTAATCCCTATATCCTTGTATTTACCAAACGTCTTCGCTCAAAGCAATTATAGATGTATAGTAATACATTCTACAAAGAAAAGTGTGAATGCTAGCTTAAAGGCAGTGGATCAGCAGATTGGACCCTTCTCGGATTTTGGTGAATTCAGGTAGTGGGCCCCCCAAGTACACTGTAGCCCACACCCCACGTGCCAATTCATGCACTAACAAGGAAAGGATACTTGGTCGAAGTGAGGTTTCTATATGAAATGTACACTTGCTAATAGAGCATGTAACGTTGATTCCGAATCTGCTCTCCTTATCTGCAAAGCGCTCCCGGAAGGGGAGTTCTAGGAATTTTTTGTGGTAAAAATTCAATGATTTGGCTAAGGTAAAAAAAGGGTGTTGAGATCTTTCCGGCGCTTGAAAGGAGTAATGACTGACATGAGTTTATAAGACTGAAGGTATTCATTGCACAGAACGCTCTGCTAGCGATCGTGGCCCCATTTGAGCTCATAGGCTGTAGTTCTGATTGATTTTATTGTGGCCACGCGTCCAAATTTTTGCTTCAAAAAATCTCCATAACTTTCTTCCTAGAAGAGCATTGCAGATAAGGAAAGCAGATTCGGAATCAGCGTTTCATGCTCTATGAGAAAGTGTACAATTCATATTGAAGCGTCACTTCGACCAAGTATCCTTCCTTTGTAACTCCTGAAAATGCGCCTCAAAGTTCCACCAGCCCCGCCCCTTTCCATTGAGTGGGCGGGGCCGGTGGAACTCTTAGGCGCATTTTTCAGGAATTAGCGCATATTGGCAAATGGAGTTTGGGCTACAGTGTGCTTGGGTGGCCTACTACCTGAATCCACCAAAATCCGAGAAGGGTCCATTCTGCTGATCCACTGCCTTTAAGTAGGCTTCGTGTTTCTTGGAAAAAAATTAGCGAGGGCTAAACCTTGATGAATGACCATTCATTTTATGATTTGGAGCTTAAATCCATAATACCTTTTTGCCGATGTTCAGCAATTGCTTTTGCTGCACCTTTCGTCATGACGTGCACTACATAGAGAGGACAATTTGCTTGTGTGGCCATCATGCACGCTCTATTCGTGGCCTCAGCCTCCAGCTAAACAGGCGCAGTAAACCTCAAAACCAGGGCTCGGCACGAGCTGGCACAGGGAATTTTCGGAACGAAGTCCCCATTGATTTTCGCTAAGTTTTACGAAGTCCCCCTTGATCTTAAACCCTAAACCCAAAAAACCCTCAAAAAACGAAATGTCGACTAAAAAAACGTCGCAATTTGTCGACGAAACCGATACCCCCTTTGCTTTTTGTCCCAAAAACGATATCCAGCTTGCCCCGTGCCAGCTAGTGCCAGGCCCTGCTCGAAACAAATAATCTGAGCAAACCTCTTCCGGACGACTTTGGGGATGGCCTTCTGGTCCGGTTATACCTTGTGCTAGCAGTGCTGCGCATCGCTCTTTTATGACAGACCCATTTTCGGCGTGAACTCGTGCTACTGCTCCGATCTTTGAGCAGGTCAGCATTCCTAGATCCAGAAGAATTGTACAGTTCTGAAAAAAAGGCGGAAAGCTTACCTTGGTAGAATTCGCCATCTTCAACCATGAAGTAATCTTTGTATGCCAAGAAGAACTTAAAGGAATTTACACCTGAAATGCATCTAATATAATCTTTTGCAAACGAATGCTTCTCAAAACATTACCGTATTCAGGTTTCACTAATTCTTCCATGTCTTTTGCAACATTCTCATTCCAGAAAGTAATGGCCATTGATAGACTATAATCGCAGCATACCTCAAAACTCTATGATATTGGCAAATATTCCATTCCTCACTCCTACCTTTGGATCAGCCCATTCTCTCCATTGTTTGTAAGCAGCCAAAACTGGCATTTCCTTGTTTGGAATGACGAAATCGATGATCTAAAGCATAGATTTTACTTGGTTTAGATTACGTAAGAATTTACTAAAAATAATCATGTGCAGTTGAGAGAATCACAGCACGAAATCATCAGAGGCACCAATAAATGTCAGCCATGTAAGAGAGGGAAAGGCTACAAAAAAAGGATGATTCACTACACTTCACTTCTATTGCTACAGAAGTTCTTACAAAATCCTAATATTTCGTTTTATCAGAGATTGACGTACTATTCGACATAGCAAAGTCCAAACTTTGCACAAAATCTGAACCACGGCTTCAATTCAAAGAACTTTTGATTTCACGAAAAACTAATCTTATTCCACAATAATTGCGACTCCTAAGTTGCTCACGCGTACACACTTCACAATGAATCTAACGTTTATAAATTCTGTAGCTGGAGAATAGCGAAAACGAAATGGCAAACCTCGGCCGAAGGCAATTCTCGACCTCTTCCTCCCTTCCCCCTCCCTCCATGATCCATTAGTACAACTCCTCGGAAGTGCAATCATGAATGTTCCCCACCTTTATATTTTATATACGCGTTAGTTTTCGAGACATTTAATTGAACGAAAACTATAAAAATACGACAGGGATTTCCATTTCTGTTTCTTGATTCAAAAAAAAAACCAGTCACACATACATATTGATGCTTAGAGAGAGCAGTATATAATAATCAAGTGGAAGGTATGTTGATTTTTTGGGACCGATTATGTCACCGTAATCGAATAATTTTGATTTCACGAATTTCACGTGAATCATACTTCATGCGGATGTTCGGGGTCCATCTGTACAACATGCTTTACTCTATAATGGATTTCACAGAAGGATTGCTTGTGAATAAGCTGCAGAAAAAACAACTTGGTTTTTAAGTCTCATATTTTAAGCCATTACAATGATCTTAGCATTGCTTGCATCACAACGAGCTTATGTTATCTTATTTTTTCACTCCGTCATTATCTTCCGACTAACCATAGTAGTCCCACCGGCCACTGCTGCTTGTGTGCCCGACACGAAGTCGTCGGCAGCGGTCGTACCCATGAATGGCATCTGCAGATGCGTGTGTGGATCAATCCCTCCAGGAATAACATATCTGCCAGTGGCGTCGATGACTTGGACATTCGCACCAGACGTGGCTATCGACGGTCCGACTTCTCTAAAATCAATCTCAAGGATACTCTGGTTTTGTAGTCAAATATATAATTCAAGTCATAAATGAAGCACACAATCATACTCCAGTTTGTGCAAAAGTTGCGACCAATGATTAGGGGAAAGCAGCACCCAAAAGTTTCTTGGGAACACATACCAGTTTGCTCTCGACCAGCATCCCGACGACTTTCGCAAATGATGCAACCCATCTCACCTCGGTAAAAAAAAATGGTTATTGTTGTTAAAGGCAGCGTCCACTCAAAATTTTGTCTCCCATGTTTTCGGCCATTCCGGGACCTTTCCGTGGATCTGATTACAGTTATAAAGTTCAAATAGCCCAAAACTCCCAAAAAAAAACCCTATTCCTGTGGACCGTGTCTTAAGGGCGCTGGCGGCTTTCAGTACATGGGTTGGCGGAGTGATAGGATCTGGGCGGGGTCTAATAGCACTTCGGCTGTTCTAGTCCCTTTATCTCCATTCAGAGACAACATTAGAGGACCGGACCAACGCCGACGCCCCTCTCGTGAGGCCTACATTCAGAATCGACCTTGATCGGAGGGGGTTAGATTTAGCCTGGACACTGCCTTTAACTTGATTACACTAGAGATAGAGGCAGCTTGCTGGCAAAATTTCGATGTCTAGTTTTCAATTTTTTGGAGCTTTCTTGCCATGCTGAACCCACACCTGTGCTTTGCAGCGTGTGAAAATGGCAAAATTTTTTTTTCAAGGCTCTTCTTTCCGTATTTGCTCAAGAATCTTTGTAAGTAGGCGGGGTCCGGAAGACTTCGAGAGTGGATTTTGTGCTTTTCAGAGACGCGTTTTTTGCTCTAGACTCCATCTAATGGACCAGTTGGGGAGTATATTGCAAACACTGTAGAATATCACCATCATTCTGCTGGGATGCTGCCTTCAAGCAATTCGCGTTATGTGAAGCGCTTTGTGATCTGTCCAAGTGCCAATTAGGGTTTTTTTTTCAAAAATAACTGATCTAGAGCTTTTTCCTAAGTTGAATGACGGGATGAAGTCCGAACCGCTTTCAATACTAGGCATTATTGGGTATTATAGCTACCTTCTGACAGGCCTCCTAAAAAGTTCGCTTTGCTACGCTGCTGTTTGCTCTTCAGAAATATTTCTTTTCAAAATTAGGCTTGTTCTATTGACAATAAGTTGCATTCCTTCTTTTGAATAGGTGTTTATGTGGTATTAGTAAGGTGTGAGCATTTATGTCTTCCCAGCGTAACAGTCGTACTTCGTATTCTAAAAACTATCATAAAATGAACTTTTGAGAGTCTTCCATTTTTGGGTAGAAGATTGCGCACTGCGCAAAGGCGGTCTTGGTCAGCCTGTTGGCATAGACATTGTACTTTTAAGAGGTCAATTTTTTCATCTAATGAGTGAGTACCGAAATCGAAATTTGAAAATTTTGAATAAACGAATAACGAATAACTTTAAAATCAAAAGTTTCGAATGAACGACAATCGATTATATTCAAGCATCGAGAGTCGAACTTTGAATGAATAGTCGAATAATTAGTTTGAGTGGCTAGACAGACATTAGCATTCGGAATAATCATTCGAATATATAAATATTCGAATGATTTATTCCAGTATCTAGAGCAACCTTATTTAAAACTTGCCGACGTACACGGCTCGGTCGATGTGGCTCTGTACCAAACTCGAATATTTCGATTACAAATTTCATACGAATACGATTTCGAATGAAATATTCTAATAAAAAGTTCGCATTTATTTCGAAATTACCACTTTTTATTAGTGGGTTTTCGACTTTTATTCGAGGAAAACTCGAAGTTTCCAATTCGTGTCAAATGCGATTTTACTCGAATGTTTCATTCGGATAATCTAATGTTTATTCTATTCGGATTGAAGTATGTCCGCACATTTTTCGCGTTCACTTTACCTGTTTCCACTTTCTACTTCCCAAAACTTGCTGCCCAGCTCTTTCGCCGTTGGATGTGAAAGCTGGCAATAAAGCAACTTACACAATTTTCCCGTCAGTAATGAGGACGTCTGCAGAAAACATCGAATCATCATTTACAACAGTGCCGTTCTTGATGAGTATGGACATCCTAAAATAGTGAGAAGGTTGGTCGTAGCAGAGAAGTACTTATAATGAAGAACGATTGTCCAGGAATCCAAATGACCATAAGGACTGCTAGACAGGTTATGTATTAGGTTGTCCGGAAATTAATGCAGGTTTTGAATTCCGACCGCAATAAGTCATATACTTCTGATTTCGGAGTAGGTTGCAAAGTACCTTTCGATAGAGCAAAGCAAGCTCTACAAAATCGTAATCTTGCTTTAGCAACAGCTCTGATCCACCACGAGTTTAGAGCCAGAAACTAAAAAAGATTCAACTGCCCGCAAAATTGAGAAAAATCGTAACTCAGTCCATAAAAATCCTACAAAAATTATAACTTGCTCACGTAAATACAAGCTACAAAAGGCATCTATATACGCCGTTGCCGTATTTTTTTCTCTGTTAGAAATCAAGAAAACGGAAATTTTCGTGCATTTGTTAAAGTGGTGCTGTGCCGTCTCCACATATGTAGTTGTATACTACAAGCCTCTAGAAGTACAAACGTGAATTTTCAGCTCTCTACAAGCTTTAGTTTTCGAGAAATATCGAATAAAGTTTTCCCTAGTCATGTGGTCCAAGCTAAAATTCGAATTTCTCGAGAATCAGAGCTTGTAGAGAGCTGGACATTTACGTTTGTACTTCTACAGGTTTGTAGTATACAACTACTTATGTGGAAACGGCACAGCACCACTTTGGCAAGTGCATGAAAATTTCCGTTTTTTCTTAAAATTTTTCTTAATTTCTAACAGAGGAAAAAATACCGCAATGGCGTATATAGATGCCTTTTGTGGCTTGTATTTACGTGAGCAAGTTAGAATTTTTGTAGGATTTTTATAAACTGAGTTACGAGTTTTCTCAATTTTTCGGGCAGTTGAATCATTTTAGTTTCTGGTTCTAAACTCGTGGTGGATCGCTGTTGCTAAAGCAAGATTGCCATCTTGTAGAGCTTGCTTTGCTCTATCGAATGATACTTTGCAACCTATTTAGAAGTGAGAAGTGCATGACTTATTTCGGTTGGAATTCAAAACCTGCATTGATTTCCGGACAACCTAATACCTGACACAAAATAATATGAGAAGATAACTTGGGCGACATAAATCGGTGCATTCTGTCGTGAACACCACACATACATGCTGGCTGTGGGAAAAAGATCTCATGAAAATGATTGGGTACTCTAATAGAAGTGGATCAAAGATAAGATCAAAGTGAACTTATACACTGCTGTGAATGAATAAAAAACGACTCGGAGTCTACACTAACATCCTATTTTTCTAAGCCCTACAGTGGTCACTATGTCAAGCAGACCGTTCGACTGACAACAGTACCAACTTGGTCAGTTCCTGAAGACTTGCTGAGTTTGAGTTAGTGATGCTGTTTACCAAAAGGATGCTTGAGTAGTAGTCGCTCAAGTTCACTTTGATCTCAAATTGAGCTCACATAAGCCTTATCTACAGAATTTATTTATTAACACATTGACTACAACTTTCATTTTTTGGCCTTGTGGTACAACGCCCTCCACGAATAAGTTGAGAAAAATTTGGCTAAAATTACGCAGATCTTCATTTACAGTATACCTACAGTAATTCTAAGAAGCAGCCGAAAAACGCGGAAGCGATTTCTAGTATCAAAGCGTAAGAGAACTTCTGCAATAAATGTATTCCAAAATAGTAGTCATTCAACAAAATTTAGGCCATGACCCACCATGTGGGTCACGTTGTCGTCAATATGTTAAATTTCTTTGGTGCTGACTAATGGTTACTGTGGAGTCTAGAATGTATGAGGAGTCTATGAGATGCGCCGGAATACAGTCACAAATTTTGAAGCAGTGCCACTATAAAACCACCGAGAAATTCGTCTCCATACTTATGTCATCGATTTAAGGCTTTCGAGGAAATCATAGAGCTCGTCAGTTGAGAATGTGAGCATCAAAACGATCAGGCAGGTAGCTTCAGAGAGCGAAGAATGAGGTTCTTTTTAATTTTTTCGCTCTGAGTAATGAGTAAATAATGAGTAACGAGTGATCTTTTCCTAAACCTTTTTGCAGTGTAGAAAGTGCACTTCCTGTAAGCTCTAGAGGTAGGTGCATATGTAAGTAATATACATACATATATGTATGCATATTGATAGGTCGTTTCATAAGTTCGTAGAGTTTTTATTTTTGTAGTCATTTCTCGATGAAGCGATTGTTTTACGTCAAAGTACCTGTACCTTTCGAAAGAATCAATCCTGCTCTACAAGAGGCGTTCTTTGATTTTGGAGCGAATCTAAATCGCTTTGATTCATAACCTCCCAAAGCAAAGTTTTTTGAGAAGCAAGAATTGGCGATTTCGGCAACTGCATTTCCCGCATTTGGTCCGTATCCCGCTAAATGTTACTGTCATATGTAGGTGGAATGGATAGTGGCAAGCAAGAATGGATAATGACAAATTTGCAGCATGCCAGTATGCTTACAACCGTTTGAACAAGGTCCCAATAGTTGCTGTCTCTGACTGCTGCAGCTTGAGTTTTGCGCGTTGTTTAGCGACAGAATTCGGTCCTCCTATCGGGCCTTGAGAAATGGATGGGTCCTTCTATGTAAGTGGTCTAGATGTATGAGCACAAGCTCTGGCCAACATTTTACGCTTTCTGGAGATTTTTTCGATCGGGGACTTCCGTAAATTGTATCAAACGCAAAACATCTATGCACATGGTAGAAGTGCGCTTAGTTCTTCTTTATCGCGTCTCTTTAGATAAGCAGACTACTTTTATATGCACTGTAGTCCCATAAACAATTGTTTTTCATCACTTATAACAGTTTCAGACGAAAAAATCCCACTTGTGACTCCGTATTATGGATCGGAAGTTGCAGGTGTCGAAATCGCCAATTTTTGCCTCTCAAAAAATTTTGCTTCGAGAAGTTGTCAAAGAAGGGGATGTAAATTTGCTCCGGAAACGAACAACAGTTCTAGAGCAAGATTTTTTCTTTTCAATGGCACAGGTACTTGGCCGTAAACCAACCGCTTCATCGAAAAACGGCGCCAAAAATAAAAACTCTACGAACTCATGAAACGACCTAATATTTTGCAAAAAGTATCTGCATACGAGGGATTTTGTGTTCAGAACTAATTGTGACGCTCTAAAAATGCAAGTTTTCTTAATAGTAAGGTTTTCTTCTATGAAACATACAGAAAAGCAATTGGTCGAGATCGACCTAAAGGTGATTTGGAACTGACAAATGTAGATGACATTTTCTGCTTTTGGCGCTTCGAAGGCTCAAGACTCTGCCCTCTAACATGCCGCTATGTATGTAAGCATGTTTTTGTAAAGTTGTTGATTGCTTCTGAACATCTGTACTCATCGTTAGCAGAGGTGAGAGCTTTTTTACTTTAATGCGCAAACTTAGAAACAAGCGAAGAGCTCCTTATTCGTATATTGCATAAGTTTGTGAAGCTGTTTCTGCGTACAACATGCAGTTCAGCTAAGATAATTTGTAGTTTTTTCAAATATTAAGGCAAGCAATCCTAGATTTTAGTGATGCATTATGGATAGTTTTCTAGCATTACAAAGGCGGGTTTGAAAATATGTCGCTTTTGATTTTGTTGGATTTGAGGAATAGCGAATGTGACCACTCAGTACAATTCGATTTACGACAAAAATGCTTTGCGCCAGCAATCTTTGGAATACAAACTTCAAGAATCACGAAATTATCTCTAGTAAGATCTTTTTTTGTTACTTCCTAACTTTTGAGAAAGAGATGGGCAGAGAACTTGAGTTTGACAAAAAAATGAAGACTAACTTGATTTTCCGCTTCAGTTGATTTGATGCAGTTTGCTACGTGCTTTCTGTAACCGTATTCTGTAAGGAATGACGAATTTGCTGATTGCTCACAAAGAGAAAAGATAGAATTTCGCAGTCTCGAAAGACGTTATGACCTCAAAACAGTTGCTTTTCTTGATATCTGAACAACGACTATTTCTCTAGAGGAAGCATCTACAAAGACCTTCTAATAATTGCCGAATCAAGCCGAATAGACTCTGTTACGTAATGAGACTAAGCCCTGAGTTGATAGCAAAGATATGTGAGAAAGCTAAGTCGTCGGGCAGAGTCACGCGATTTGATTGTCGCGATTGATCGCGACAAGACAACTGCAACAGTATCATTGCATGCCGATCTTCTTGCATTTCGGTTGTGATAGTTTTCCGACACGAATAGTCGTGACTACTTATCACAACCGAAATGCAAGAAGATCGGCAGGGAATGAACTCGCAACAGTTGTCTCGTCGCGATGAATCGCGACGATGAAATCGCGCGAGCTCTGTACGGGGCTTAAAGCGGTTGTCCTCCGCTGAATTATTACTTATCCTGCAGTTGCTGCCTTTTTAATCAATTTGCTCAAACGTTTCGTTGTGTCAGATGAATAAAACTCATCTATGTACTGTTGTCTACATTCTACCATCTTATGATGTTTCATTCCCGGATCTGCCAGACGCGTGCCAGCGCGGTGCTAGCGCCGTGCCCAAACACAACCGGGATACAAGAAGATCGGCAGGCAATGAATTGTACAGGTTTTGCCCACTGGGATCCTGCACGACGCTGGAACGTCGTTGGTCTGGTACAGCGGCACACGCGCAACTTTAGACGTTGCCCTGAAGGCAGTGGCTCGGGAAAACTGCGACTGCGGGCATTCCACGAGTTCTGGCCTTCTGAACCAGGTGAGTCCGGTAGTGCGCTTGAAAGATCAAAAAAGTGCTTTTTTTGGCGTTTCCGGGCATTGCAGGTTTCTGGAGGGGCGGGGCGAGGGATTCACACCAAAAGGATCAACTGGTCACTGGAGACTGTAACTCCACCTATACTGGCGGCAATTGGCTGATCAGCCTAGGCAGCCATCGCTATACATTTTACCGCCAAAATAGGTGGAGTTGCAGTCTCCTGCTGCCGGTTGCTCATTTTCGGATGAATCCCTCGACCCCCTCTCCAGCAATCTCCAAGGTCTGGAAACGCCAAAAAAG